AAAGATGAAGGATGGAAGGAAGCGTCGGCAGAGGGAGAGATAAGTAGCTTTCAAGAAGACAAAGACCTCTCCAAAATGTCCCCCCATTTCTGCAAGAACGTTAACCCAACCCCAAGAAAATGCTTCAGTTACAAGTCCCTTTCACGAACTCTCTCCTCTCCACCCCTTGGATCTCTCCATACTATATAGAAATAGCTAGTCCCCACCTATGAAGTCAGAGTCTATAAAAATGTACAGTAGTAATAGAACAGATCACAGTGCAGACCAGATGATAAAAGAGTGAATCCATCTTGTCTACTCTCTTCTTCAATTCTTATTCCATGATAATATCCTATATGTAGCGCCTAGCTAGCTAGCTCATAGACAATAGACATGTTTGTCTCTAAGAGTGTCGGCATTCGCTGTAAAACATTGCACATTCCTAGCTATGCCTAAAGAAAGTGACAAATGCGTACCTTTTCTTGGATTTTTTTTCACTTTCGGATCATTTTTGGGGTTACCAATAACATTGATATATCACTACATATCCCATGCATGCATTTACTTTTTTTTTTTTTTTAACTTCCTGCTCAGTAATATATATATATATATATATATATGTCTGTGTGCGTGGTGGTGGGGGCAGTAACTATTGTTTATATAATATTTTTTTTATTTTTTACCTCCTCCTCCTCCTCCACTTCTGCTTCTTCTTCTCGAGTCCTGTCATGACTGAAAGGGCAACATTCAAAGCCTCGTGACACTGTCTCTGACATGTTCATCTGGGGTTTTACGCAGCATGCAATTAATGAAGCTTCACCTGTTTATCATGAGAGAGACGGAGATTTGCATTTATTAGTTACTGCAACAGAATGTATAGATCTCATCGCCCCAATTTAATGCCATGGTTTTAGTGGCATCAATCCCTCATAATAAAATGACGAGTCATGCGATGCCTATGACCATTGCTATTTTGCTAGCGATCCCAGCTTGGGCTAGGCTTTGTTTTGGTCAACCATATATATATATATTGAGGCATGTGATGTTTTTGGACCAGATTGATCGAAACTAATTAAAACCCTCAACTACTCGTTTGGTTTTTAGGACATTTTTCATATCGATTTTGTACATTAATATTCAAATTTAAAAAATAAAACAAATCTTATTGAATTGGATTAATTATCATAATATATATTTATATTAAGAAAAAAGAAACAATATATGGTACTGCAAAACTACGGCATTGTACATCTTTCCTTGTTATTTTATTTATTTTCATCTGATTTTTTTTTTTTTGAGACCCTTCAACTGATAATTATTCAATTTTTGTTTTATTTCATTTCCAATATTATATATTTCGTGATAATTTGCATAACAACGATACTAATAATTACTAGCTATACTTTTAATTGGATACTCATTTTTATTTTTATTTTCTTCTTCCGGGCACAAATTAAGATCCTCTTTAACCATTTGGTATGATCACTTCATTATTAAATTCGTCAAGTTAAACATGAGCTGTGATCTTTGGACCAAACCTTACGTATTTAATTACTATACTTTATATTATCAATATTGAAATAATTATGCTACAGAATCTTATTGATTAGGGTTCCATGCTTGCTTTCTTAAAAGGAAGAAGAAAAAAACACACATTTCATGCTTGAATAATTTTAAAAAGAAGAAGAAGAAGAACATTCTATGTTTATATATATATTAAAAAAATAAATTAAAAAGACATACATATTTCATGCTTATATAGAGAAAGGAGAAGTTCGCCTCAAAGTACGCATAGAGTACAATATCGACCGACAACTTTTGGTACGATAAGTTACCTAAAAAGAAGCCAAATGACATGTAGTATGCCCTAACTTTTTCATAATTGCTTGGAGAAAAAGGTCAATTAAATCTTTACACAAGAAAAAGGTAAATATTGGTGCCAATTTCTTATCCTACTCCTCCTCCTTCTAGGTAGTCAAACCAATTTTCATCAAAATCAAAAAGTTGTTAATTTCCAAATATGTGGAAACATAAAATGCAAGCTTAGTATTTCTATATATGTGCTATATATATTTTTTAAAAAAATATATTTATATTTATAATTATATATATTCTAAAATATTAGTCTGATCAAAATTTTAAGTGACGTGAATTTTTTTTAAAATACTTCTAATTAAATTATATTTATAAAAAGGTTATCTAAATACAATTCTCAAAATAAGAGTATTTAAAAAAATTATAAATAAAAAATACTAATTTGACATAATAGTTAATATATATATACTCGTGGTTAATTAATAAGGTATTTTCAAGTAAATTTTTGCATCAATCGATATTAAACTTATTGTTTTTTAAATTAAATTAGTTTCTAATGATGTTTAATCTTTAATTGATTTTAAAAATTAGATTCTTTGACTCTCTCGATAATTATATTAAATTCTATATAAAATAGAGGAAGGAATTAGAAAAAAAAAAAAAGAGAATATTAAATTGCATGTCACAAAAACGTCAATGTGTTGTCAGAATAAAACAACACCTAAGTTGTTTAACGGTGTCTGCAATAACATTAATTAATACCAGTAATTTTTTTTATAATTTTTTATATGTAGGGACAGCTAGGGTCAACCTTCACTATGCCATTACAACATTCACAAGCTTTGGAGAATTTATTACAGAGCTAGCCAGAACCATATACCAACAAGAAGTACTGGTGTCTGATGCTGGGAACATGAGTGCTAAATGATAAACATAAGATTCCAAAAAATTTACAGTTTGGATTTATCCAAACAGCTAAAATACCTAACAGAGACATCTCATGCAAGTTCTTTCTGCTCCATCATTTCTCTCCATAGTTTGGTAACATTTATGCTATGTATTAAATAATGGAGATTTGTGGTATAGTAATCCAGAGATTTTGGACCCCATTTTTCTGTTTTTTTTTTTTTGGCCAATGCTGATACAGTGAGAGAACGAGGAAGACAACAAAACACAAGCACAAGGTGTAGTACTTCAGCCTCATTAATTTGTTAGTGCAGGCTTTTGTCTTGCACGCCCCTGTGTAGAGTACTGTAACCAGTCTGAGATTTCTGTGTGGGTCAAAACAATTTAGTATTTCGCCAATTTAACCAACAGCTAGCTAGCTTCATTTAACGTGTCTAATGTCCCTTTCTGCTCTGTTTGTTGTTTCTGGTTGATCCTGACTGTCCAGAGTAAATGCCCAAGCCCCTAAATTATTTACTCTTGGACACTCGTTTGAACTTCAGTAAAATAATGGTTGATAAAAACGATTTTGGAAAATACAAAAATAACCGTTAATAGAGTTATTTGCGTTAATATATTTTTAATAGTTTTATTAATTATGTATAATAATAATGATGATATTTTTAATAGTTTAATATCATAATTACTTCTTGAGCTGATTTGATTCAGTGATTGACCAAATGCTAAGCATATTCTGATATTGATTTAACCCAGAAAATGATATACTTAGTTTCCGTTAATGCAAAAACTAGTTTGAGAACATTTCATTATCTATAAATATACGTAAAAAAATAAATATAATAATAGTTAAATTTATTAAAAAAATAATAATAACTTTTTTAATAATTTAATTTCATATAAAAAATGCATTACAAGTTTAAGATGTAAGATTTCACCTGGATAACATTTGAAAAAATATAAAATAATAACATCATATAACGATAACGTTGTTGTTTATATAAGACGCACATGAAATCTTTATAATGATAAACAATAATGATGAATAAATCTGATTTTATTAAATATCTAATTTTATTAAATAACGGACCGTTTGGTTATGCAATGTTCGTTATTTCAGACTATAATTATGAAACATGCCATCCTCATTTCAATTTCACAGTTTAGGGGACTCGAACAAAAGAATTCCTTCCTAGTGGCCTTAAGTCATTTGGAAGCAGGCCCGAGTGTAGGGAGGTAAACTAAACCTAGGAAATACTCTGAAATGCACAAATAGACCGACGGATGACACATTGAAAGGCTGGCAAGGGTTCTGTCCTGTCAATAGGGTTGGTGATTCGGTCCTGTCAATGGGGTTTGCGATTCCGTGTCAATGGGACCTGTGATCTGTTGATGGTTCTCAGAATGAATTCCACGATCGAAACCTTAGACTAGCATGAAAAAAAATCATGATATGGTCCTTTCAATTAGGAATGGCAGGGGGATGGCCATCCCGCCCCGCTTCACCCCTGAAAAACTCCACCATATCCCCGCGGCCCCGCCCCATTCCCGTGTGGAGCAGGGGACGGGAATCCCCAGGGGGCATCCAATGGCTTGTTTTAATTTTTTACGTCCTTTTGTTTCATGCTGTCTTATATTATCTTGTACTATAGCAAAAAAAACAATAATTTATATAAAAAATATAATTAGGAAAGATAATAATTTAACATCATATTCAACTACAAGTTTACAACACAACTCATAATATATTAAATTATTTTTAATCGAATAAATAATATATTTAATTAAGTTGATAGAGTATCATAAATGTATTTAAAAAACACAAATTCTTGTATGTCTTTATTATTTAGAGATTATAGAAACTTGTTATATTAGAGACTAGTTTGTACTATAGATGTTGAATATCATTGTAATTTCCAAATAAAAAGACAGGACAAAATGCATACGAAAAAACTTGGAAATACCATCCCTGCTTCATCTCTATTTAAAATTAATGCCCCAACTTGGTTTCCCCATCAACTCGAGGAATCCCTATATGGACCAATCCCTATATGGACCGGAGTGGAGAGGAGCAGAACCCCATTGGGATGGGGCAAATTGCCATCCCTACTGCCCATGGAACTTACAAGCACGTTTGAGCCATGATATTGGCCTCGACAGCACCTAGCTTCTAAGAGCCTTATTCGACACCAGATACTAATAAACCAAAACGATCTCTTCCTATTCTATGCACTGTTATTTTTAACTACAAGAATTTGCATTTCCAAGTTTAATGTGAACGTAAGAGTTAAAATATTGCTTCCCTACACTGCCATTCCATAAACTTCCATTAGTTGATTCCTAGATAACATGCAGTTGAGCAAACCAGATTATAAGTTCAACAAAAGGGACACTTAACAGTTGCCCAATTCTTTGCAAGGCAAGGAAACCTAATAAATAGATCCATAACAGCAGGAAGCTCACAACCTTGATCTACCCAACCCATGGCTATCCCAGGGAAGCTCCACATTAAGAGCGATTTTCCCACTCAAGACTGGAAGCTAACAAAAATCCAATTCTGCACAAACTTTTGGCAGAGATAGATGCATCAAATGATTGGACAAGGATCGAGGATTCAGAAAGAGTAACAGTTGAGCTGAGGGCAAAAGCCAACTTTAGACTAACATCTCAGCACATCCATATTTTTTATCACCAACATTAGCTAGCTGCACTGCACTCCAATGGAAACCCTTCACAGGCCATGCCTCGGCCGTTTTCCCCCAAGGAATTTAGGGCCGGCCAATTGAGAATTTGACAAGTTCAAAATCTCGGCTCCAAGACCCAACCATAAACAGATCCACTCCAAAGGAGTGCCAGCTTCCTGCTCTTGTATACAGTTCAATCCCAAACACATAGGATTAAGGAAAGCATAGATAATATTTTGCATTTGGGTTTTCATATAACTATTAACTAACAGTTGAAGAACATGCGTTAATAAATAAACTTCCAATGATATTCAAAAACCACAACAGGAGCAAACCCAGATGAAGTTTCTATTATTTACTAGTAGGACCATAGACATTTTTGTGCCTCCTGCAGATGTAGAGCGCTAACCCATTGCATATTTCTGGGTCCAGGACCGAGCAGTGGTTTCATACTTGGCTCTGTCTGTCTTGTACATGTGAGCAATTTCAGGCACCAGGGGATCATCAGGGTTTGGATCAGTCAGCAGTGAACAGATTGACAGAAGAACCTACAAGAGAGACAAATTCCTTATAAAAATAACAGTGCATACATAATGTCATTGTACTACAAATATAAAACTATAATGAAGATCTAGTGTTACTATTATAGTATAATATAAGCACTTGCATCTTATAATAAAGCCATGTCAAACAAAAATTTGGTCAAAGAGGATCTGCACCAACTCAAAATCCCATGCAGAGGAGAGAGACTAACAAAGCATGAGTGGATAAAAATAATAATACCTTGGATATTGTAAGAGCAGGGCTCCACTGTTCTTTGAGAATATCAAGACAAATGCTTCCATTGCTGTTGATGTTAGGGTGGAAAACCTTTGTGCGGAAGGAGACCTTTGCAGTACATAACCAAATTAGAAAATAATAATAATTACAAGAAAAAAGGTGAGAGAGCCAACTTTTAAATCCTAACACATCAAAAGCCCACAAAAAATAGATTGAATCACCAAGCTAACAACAGCCTTCTATTTTTAGGGGGAAAAAACTGTAAAGATTAATGCATAGCGTCATAACCTAAGTGGCAAGCAACCTAAGCTAGGGGGATGAAAAGAAGCACTTCCATGATGTGCATTTCAGGTCCTAGAGACTGGCACACTAAGTCAACCACGCAGGGCAATTAAAAAAAGAAAAGAAAATAGAACAGACACAAGCCAGGATGGACACAAAGCCATCCTCAATCATTTGAATGTTCATCACTCATTTGCAAATTGTTTCAAGCAAAAAACAAGGCAAAGGGATATCACAATTTCAGGAAGACCCAATTTTTTTTTTTTTTTTTTTTACAGAAGAAAGATGACAATTATGGAAAGAGGACAGAAAAACCATGGACTATGTATATAGTATGAATGAAACAGACATGATAATGCAGATAATACACAAACACAATGAAGTATGTTCGGAAAGGGAAAAAGAGAGGGGGATGGGAAGGAAGGCAAGGCATTGAGTAGCAGGAACATGAGCATAGTGATTGCCTTGGGTGGCTTGAATGGGTAATCTGGTGGAAAGTGAATGGACACAAGGAATACACCACCAGCAAATGGGCTGTCAGCTGGGCCCATAATTGTTGCTTGCCAATGGAACATATCATCAGCAACAGGACCTGTAAGCACAGGTATTATGTCAAAAGCCATGGTTTAAATTAATAAACTTCGATGAAAATGAAATATATTATAGGTTAAAAAACAACAGAATTCAAAGCTTCTATGTTTAGCTTGCAGATTGGCCCAGTCTCATAAATGAAAATGATCAGCGATCATCAATCTACACAGCCATATCTCCAACACCACATTGAAATCCCCCTACCAATCTCTATTAAAATAGCCAATAACACATTACCACCAAACAAATTCAACGATGGCGATTTTTTAGGTCACTCCCGCAAGTGCTCACACACAAACACAAACATCCATAGATGGCTGAACCCCAGCCTACAAGTTACCAAACAAACAGAGTTAAATTCCCATTGGTTACTCTTTTAAACCAATCCTCCTTGTCCTTGCACTCAACCAATTGTAACAATTTCCACATCAATGTCCTGATGTAAGTTAAAGTGAATAGAACAAAATTTTTATAAGTATCTATATTCAAAGCAATCCCCAATTGCCATCCCAACTTAATTATGCATGCATAGATTTCTTGATTAAACCAAAGAAAGCAATTTATAAGACTAACAACTCCACTTAGGAAAGAACAAAACAATTAAGGGCAAGTAAAGAAGCGAACCAGCACTGCATGAAGCAGGGGGGTCCTTCTGCAGGTCTTTCAACTCCTTGTTAATCCTCTTGGTAGCCATCGCAAATTCACTGAAGCTTCAAAAACATATATCAGTATTTACTTATTAGTGTCAGCAACACAAGTCATTCTCAACCAATCATCGAATCAAATACTAACAAAATCATGAGTTTAATTTTAAACCGCAAAAAACCAAAAACTTTATATAAATAATAGTAAACCCCTAATTTTTTAAATGTTTCTGAAATATTCCTCTCTCATCATCATTAAAAGGGTCTCCAAAAAAAAAAAAAAATCTCAGTAACCAAACAGAGGGCCAAAATCATTTGACTGGAGACTAAAACCCATCATCAGCGTTAAATCCTAAAAGAATCTTCTCAGTAACCAAACAAACAGACCACTTTTTTTTTTTTTTTAAATTACACATTAAAGGAAAAAAAAAAACATCCCAGGCAACAAGAAGATCTGTTAACATGAAACCCATTAAAAATACAACAAAATAAAAAACGAAATAAACCACTTTTATTGACCCCATAACGAAAACAAAATAAAATAAAATAAACTTAGCAAGTACGATTCAGACATCTAATAAATTAAATTAAATAAAACCCGTGTTGGAAAAGACGAGATTTATCACCTGCCGTGTAGATTGTCGGGCTAGGGTTTGGTGTTTGATTCGGCAGTAACAGAGAAAAGGAAAATAGTGTTTGCGTTCGTTCTATGTTTGATAAATATACTAAAAGAGAAAGAAGTAATAAAACAAATAAGAAAAGAAGAAGAGAATCCTTATTTGCCTTGTGGATGTCTGTGTCTGACACGAAGGCCGGTTACTTGTCACCTTCCTATTTGGTCATCATAATGGCTCAGTCCTTATAAAATATGGTAATGTTTCAATTTGTCCTTGTGTTTATAATTAAGTCGATTTTACCCTTAATTAAAGATGCATGAAGTTTTTGATATGTTTTTTTTTAATAAGATTTTCAGGTAAAATTATCAAAACTAGTTACTTGATTTACACATAAAATTTTTATTTACTTTTTAAAATAATCTTATGAATCAAATAAATAAAAAATATTTATTTAAAAAATCACGTGACTAAATTATAAATTAATCCCTCTAGTTTTTTTTTCAAAATAAATTAAATAGTCCCTTTTATTTTAGAAACTAAATAATTAGTTTCTCAATCAGTATTGATTATGGCTAATTTAATATTATTTTTTTCTAAAAATTCCTTTTTCGATCAATTTTTAAATTATTTTTCTTTTTTTATTTATCAAAACAAAATAAATAAAAAATTAAGTTATAAATATATTTTAAACTATAAAATATACACGTGAAAGATGATAAGTGATATTATAAATTTATTTATTCATTATCTTAAAGAATAAGATATTTCTTTACCCTTTTTTTTTTTTTTTTGAATTCTTTATAAAAATTGTTCTTGAATCACAAAATATAATTAAGTAACTGATATATAAAACTTGTCTAGTTTTGCCACAGTTAAGAGTGGATTGTGAAAGGCCCATACCGATGGCCCAAAGAGGAAGATATTGGGAAGCTCGAGCCCAATCAGGCTCACCAATTTTATATATTTATTCTCTCCAATATATAAAACTGATATAGTTTTTTTTTTTTTTTTTTTAACCCGTGGCTGACCATCCTATAACTATTTTTGATAGTGACGAATTGATTTTAAAATCAAAGATTTCATGTTTTTTTTATATATTTTAAAAATAAGAAAAGCGGATATAAATTTTATGATAATCATAAAAAAGACATGAAAAATCTTATTTGAACCTTAAATTTCATGTTGGAAATCTAAATCTCCTACCATTGTGTCATTTCTTGCGATTATGAAATTGATATAAATAATGTTTTAATTAACAATTTTTATTTCTTATACTCAATAAAAAAAGAGAGGAAAAAAACAAGAAGACAAATAAAATATGTGAAGAAGATTTATAATTAACTCTTCTCTAGTTAATAATTGATGATTGTTGTGGTTAATTAAGTGATTTAGTGGCACTAATCCACACTTAATCAAGTCACATACTCACCTTAACTATTATTTAAATCAAACCCCAATAACAAGTATAGAATATCGAGGTGTATATATATATATATATGTAAGCAAAAGTGGGAGTCACTCTCATGTAGAAAGAGTGGTAGACATGATGATCCAAAAGTGTAAGTTGGTCAAAACTTTAATCACCCAAGTTTGGAAAATTAAGTAGAGATAAACATGAAATTACACCATTAATCTCCCAAGATATCTAAATATATATATATATATTAATTTTAAAGAGATTGTTATTGTTTTTTTACACACGATTGAAAAAAATTATTAATTATTATGTCATATTAGTATTTTTTATTCATAATTTTTTACGAAATAATTTTAATTATAGATATTTTAAAAAGCATACTAACTAAAATTTTAACCAAATAAAATTTTTTGAAATGAATATAAATAAAAAAGATAAACAATCTTCTAAGATGAGATGGATCTGAGTAATATGTCATTTTTGCAGTATCCTCTCAACATCCTCCACTCTTAAGTAATGTCAAATGCATGATCCATCATCCACTAATGCTTAGATTATCTTTTCCAAATATTGTTTAATGATTATGGAAGCAGGTCTCCTTTGTCTTGTCCATGGATTAATGGACAAACCACAATGTACATGGATCTTGTCTTTGTCACGTTCTAATTGAAATATATTAAAATCGATCATAGATGTGAAAAATTACTTTCGATACATGACAAATCGTTCGAAAAATATCAAGTTATGGTGTTTTTGGAAAGGAAAAGTCAAGGGGAAGTGGTTAGTTAGTGGTAGAAGCACAAGCGGATTGATAGAGAGTACGTGTTCGGTGTCCCACAAAGGTTGGCAATACTTCATAACTCCTCCAACTCAGTTAGAAAACAAAATTATTAACTTTAGCATTCATTCCTACCTTCTCCTTCTCCTTCTCCTCCTCCATCTTTGTTTTTGAAACAAAAACTGATTTCAGAGTTCAGTTTCTTTCATCCCTCTCTTCTGTGGGTTTTTGTCCCCCCTTTTTTTTTTTTTTTTTTTTTTTCGTGGAAGGGTGTGCTTTGCCAGCTTTTGAGGTGCTGGTTCACTTAAGGATCCCATTAGAGGAGCTATTTCTTGAAGGGTTTGTCCTGGTTCTTGATTTCTTGCTTATAGTGTGATTAGTTTCTGGTTAGAGTTTATGTTGTTTGTTTTTTCTCTGGCAAGTTTCGTTTTTGTTGCATAATATTTCAGAACTACGATATCACAGGGAGAATGTTACTAGCTACTATTGTATTGCAAAAGAATTGAATTAGAAGGAAATTTTTCCTTGGTATCCATTCATTTCCTTGTAGATCAACTGAAGTAATTGAGGCCAGATGTTTCTCTATTTCTTTTTACACCAACATAAATCTGGCTGTAGAAAGCTGTGATGTTGATCACCAATTAAAGGGGTGGATATGTGCTAGGTGCGTGTGTGGTTAGAAGTGTTTTTCATCCAACAAATTGATGGTTTTTATTTAAAGATGTCAAAATCATCAAAAAGCAACAAAAGAAAAGGCATCGATTTGATGCCTTTTCAACCCAAACAACTCAAAAAGGCACCTGGAAAAGCACTCGAAACGCGATGCCAAACGGTGTTCTGTATGTGTATCTGCAATAATTCTTGTATTGATATATGTCTCTTGCAAAACTTATTGAGAGAAAGATAAAACTGGGTTGGTTTAATAACTAGTCAGATTATATACATGTAAAGTCTACAGCTCTAGATTGGTCGTAGGTTAATATTTTTTTTTCTGGGATCTGGTTTCTGATTTACCAAGGATCATGTGACCTTTTTTTTGGTCAAAGAAATAGTGGAGGTCAGGAACGTTTAACTCTGTGTTTTCGTTCTGGACATTTACCTGGTATTCAGTTGTCTTGGTAGAAGAGCTGTATTAAAGATTTGTCATGTTTGTTCCATTATATTTGTTGTGCTATGCTTGCTTAAATATTTCTAACTTCTTCGTTTGATTATGTGATCAGACGCGTACCGAGCGTATTTCCTGCATCCCGTTTTGCCTTATTAATTGAGAATGGGAGGTGCAGTGGGAAAGGTTGTTTCACCTAAAAAAGAATGGATACCAGAAACAAAGCTTGAGGTAAAAATGGTTGAAGCTATGCGGCGGAGGGAAGCTCAAGGAACTTCGATAAAATCATTCAACAGCATAATCTTAAAATTCCCAAAAATAGATGAAAGCTTAAGAAACTGTAAAGCTATTTTTGAGCAATTTGGTAAGTCTCCAGTTTTGCTCCATTTTTTTTTCCCTCTATAGGATTCATTTGGCAGTATGCAAACATTAATTAGACTCAAGGATTTATGATTAAATAAAATTACAGGGTTGATGCTCTAGATATCTTCAGGTTTTTATAAAGTCTTGGCTAAATGATACCAAAATTTAAAATCAAATATCTTCCTAAGAGTTCATCCAAAACACTAATTTCCAAGGCAGATTGACCGATTGTTTGGTAATATGTTCGATTAAAGCAATGCTGCCTGAACTCGACAAACTCTAGATTAAGTCACAGTACTTCTGGTTTAGCAAGAGCATCTTTCTGCTAATATTTAACAGATGCTTCATGCTGTCGTGATGCAAACTCACAGAAATTACCGACAAACACTTCCCTTTTTCTTCTTTTTTTATTTCCAAGCAGTAAGAGTTCGTTTTATTTTTTTGCAGATGAAGATTCTAATGGGGCCATTGATCAGGAAGAGCTGCGGAAATGTTTCCATAAGCTGGAGACTACATTTACAGAGGAAGAAATTAACGATCTCTTTGAGGCATGTGATATTAATGAGGATATGTGCATGGAGTTCAATGAGTTTGTTGTACTTCTCTGTCTTGTCTATCTTTTGAAGGATGATCCTGCTACACTTCAAGCTGTATCCTGTATAGAGTAGTTAATGCTCCATCTTTCTGACTTATGGCTACTGCTTTTTCATCATTAGTAATATCGCAGACGTATTCTTGAACCTAACTTGGCAGGTCTAGAACTAATACCTTTCTCCATTTGGGATGAGGCGGCATATTACGTAAACCATATGCTGCTGACAGTTTAAATCATTCTAGTCTATCATTTGACGAGAGAGCTCTCCATGTTTTACAGCCAAACTTGCAGTTCTCCACCTCGTATTCGAATTACGTGTTGTCAGCTTGCATTTATGCTAGGCTAGGTAAACTTTTCATCTCTCCTGGATTTCTGTCCATTTGGCTTCTCGAATTAGTTCTCTCATTCATGTCACAACTAAAGTCATGGTGTTACAGTAATAGAGAAATTTGGTTTTCTTGTGATAAGGGCATCAATAAGGTGATTGTTATCTTGCCGTTTTTGCTTCTGTTATTAAAATCAACAGCAAAATTTTCTGTTATATTTGGAATCCATGACATTTTTAGAAATCACGAATGGGGATGCCAGATTTGGAGGCCACGTTTGAAACACTGGTTGATGCATTTGTGTTCTTGGACAAGAACAAGGATGGTTATGTCAGCAAGAATGAGATGGTTCAAGCCATAAATGAATCAGGAGAACGTTCTTCTGGACGAATAGCCATGAAAAGATTTGGTTAGTCTCTCTCTCTCTCCCTCACTCTAGGAAATCCACATACATATTTGTGTGTGTGTGTTCGCATTTACGTGCTTAACATGATATTCAGCAATCAGCATATGCCAAGAAAGCAATTCCCTCTGTTTAAAGATTATCCTTGTGTTTCGTGTTGGCGCTTCAGCTACACAGATGGAATACTTCTGTTTGAAGAAACGCTGATATTGATCCTTCTTTTACCATTGCAGAAGAGATGGACTGGGATAAAAATGGAATGGTGAACTTCAAGGAATTTCTGTTTGCTTTCACTAATTGGGTTGGAATTGATGACAACGAAGACGATGAGGAAGTTGAAGAAAAGGACTGAACCTATGCACATTTACCCTCTCCAGCTATCTACTGATCAATTGTTATGATGATATAAAGGTCTGAATGTATGCATTTTTACCTTCTCCAGCTCCCTACTCAAGAATTAAGACGACTGGAAGCCAAACTCACAGACGTGTAAGTTCCCATGTAAGCTCCTGTTTGTCTCCAATAATGATCAAACTATTATATGTTTTTGTTAGGAAGAAATTTTTTTACTTTCATGTTTTGTAATGTAAATAGGTTTAAGCATAGTTTTATATGGCAAATATGGTTGTAAAATAACAATTGCTATTGCAAATTATGGTAATAAAATCATGATGGCAACAACCGATATCATAAGTGTATTTGTCGTCGTTAATAAATTTTATTATGAAGCCAAGTATTACTATTTTTATTATTATTGAAAATAATAATGACAATAACGGCATTAAAATAGCATTATTATTATTATTTTGAAACAATAATTTAACTAAATAGTAGCAATAACAACATTGTATAATAGTAACAACCCCATATTGCTTCTCTATAGCGTTTCTTTATAGCGTCCAATCTGTTAAATAACTGATTTTATTTGGAACTATGAGTTTTAAGCATGTTTTTAAAAAACAATCATTATGTTATATAATGATTTTAAAACATTCTATTATTATTATTTTAATATTATAATAAAGTATAATTTACGATTATACAATCGTTATTTTAATACTATAGTAATTTATAATTTACAATAATACGATCAGTTTTTTAACTGTTTATTATTTGAAACTATGGTTTTAAGTATAGAACCTAAATGCGATTCATTTGATTGCAATGCCTTTCGTTATGAACCATCTAATGCGGTATAAGATGCACTTGGGCATAAAATAAAATGCATTCAGAAGGCTGCCTTTTGTTTAGAAATAAGCATAGCCTAAATATATAAATTAATAGATTGTTTGAACCGCCATACAAATACCAAATCACGAACACTATGGAACAAAGATGACAGAACGAAGAATCTTCAAACGCGATTCCAAGAAATTGTATCAAACAGCTTGTACAGGAAAAATTTCCAAGAGCTGATCCCTTAGAATTGCCGAGGTTTGACTGCATGACGCGAGAGCCACAACTGATATAACTTCATACCAATGGCAGGCATAGAGAACGAGAAACTAGAGGCGAGCCAATTCCTATGGCTCAGCTAAGACTGCAATCTGACATATTAAATCGACAAACGAACCAGATGCCCTTGATCAATCAGACTCGTATGCATGTACAGCATTTTTTGGTCAACATGTTCATACTGGAAGACGTTGTCAAGATAAATCCAGATGCAGAGAATAAATTAGTAAATCGTTGTCAAGATAGCATCCGGTAGCACTATCATTCTCAGCTTACCTGAATTCCGAGTTGGTTTTCATGATCAACCACTAATTGCTTACCTGCACTGCAGACCAGATAACTAGTATGACAGCAAAGTGAAATACTAGGAAAAGATTAAAGAAAAAAAGGTGGGGAAAAGGGGAGGGAAGGCAGATACAATTATAATAGGAGACGACAAAGAAGGAATGCCTTCGACAAATTCGAGTACAGTCTATGCTTAATAGTACCACACTCCACCCAGATGAGGTGCATTAGGGTAGATTTGTTGATCAGTATCTGTATACAAACCATACCTTAACTTTCTCACATAAATGCCCATCAACTATCAAAATTGTCATCACAAGCTTATAGTAAGGCCCTATTTTTTAATACATTGGCAGTCTTTGATTGCAAACTGCCTAAACCAACATCCAAAAGCAAAACCCGCAACTGAACCGGTCCCTTAATATGTGATAGTCATTAAACCTCCACCAAAACAGAAGATAAACACACCTCATATAGAAACAAGTTAGAACTGTCACGAAACAGTGCCAGTGCCCCGATGGCAGTTGGGAGCATTGGCTGACACAGGAACACCTGTGCTGTCAGGACCGCTGATCACTGGCAGAACTAGTAAAAAAGCTTCAAGAGCCCACTAAGTTCAAGAATCCACTACCCCCTTGTCTTGGCCCTCTTCATACCAAGGCTGTTGTGGAAGGGGGAGACAGAACCTGACATGGGAGAACCTTCCTCACGAAGGGTACCATTGAGCATTGCTAGCTCTCTCAGCTGCTGCTTCTTATAGTAATCCTGCGATTCATCCTAAACATGAAATGAGGAAAAATAAAAATCAGCCCCAATAAGAAAGAAATGATGCTTGCAAGCTAGATATAGGGAGTGCAAAGTTAACTTGCAAGCTAGATATAGGAAGTGTAAGTTAATTTGCAAACTAGGTATAAGCAGATAACGGATAAGTTAATTACCACAGGCTTCAATAAGTCTTCAAGTATCTCACGTGCCTGCATTAGTCGAGCATCAACTATTTCCACTGGCAATTCACCCTCAACTAGGATGTGGAGAGGTTCATTTAGATGCTCATAGCCCGGCTTCCCTCTCATCATATCTTCCTATAAGAAACAAAAAACATATCGTTCGCATCATGAAACCAAGTTGAGGAGACAAAATAACACAATTTATGAGAGACAAATTAAACCTAGCAAGCAGAAGATGGACCTATTATAGGTTTTGACCCAAATTCCTTTTTAAAATGTATTAAGTTTGTTTTCCTAAGGACGAATGCAGATTTGCACCATAAACATTCAGATTTTCTAGAGACTATTGGACCACAATCATCTGTGTTCCAGCAAAGATTATATGATCATTAAGGATTTCTGCTTCCCAGTTCTTTTCTACCTCAAAAGGTTGAAGTCATACTTAAAGACTCATATAAGTTTGGAACAAAGGTTATTCAACAAACAGAAGGAAATCTCATTAATACCCTGGCAGGATCCTTAATGCTTCCACGGCCTCTGATCAGAACACGGCACTCTGTGCTTGCTTCCACTCGCTTAAGGGAGTTCCCCCTAGGGCCAAGAAGGCGCCCAACAAAGTTGTACTACAACAAGAGATGAATGTCAGAGACCACAGAAAATGGGAAATACACAAAAAATTAAAAAAAAAAATGCAAGGGAAAGAGCTGATGATTCATACAGTAGGATATTGGTCGACAGGAATATCCACTCTGATGATTCTCTTAACAATAAGACCAGATGAGCTACCTTGAGAGCTCATCCAGTTTTGTGCTGACGAGGGCTGTAAAATACCTGACATCTGCACAACATAATTCCAGGTAATGTCAAAAAAACCCACTATCTATATTCATGTGGCTTCCTGCTTCATATGGTGGGAAGAACAGTAATTAATCCCCTAGGAATCTCCAGAGAACGCCAAAAGCATTTCACAACTCCATTGGAATAGCCCACCAGAAAACATTTAAATAACTATCACAGGTGAGCAAAGAAACAAACCACACAGACGACAACTAAGAGCACATTAACAAATGAACCAAAAACATGCCCAATGCAGGAACTATATTAAGGCATACCCACCAAATCGAATAAAAATGGAAGGCTCTAAACCTAGAAACACATGTATTAGTGTGCTCAACAGCCTTGTCATCTTTTGCATTGATTAAGGCACCAGGCTATCTGCTCCAGCACCATTGTGGATTAAATAAATTTTATTCATTCAAGGGTCAGGATTCTACACCAAAGTACCAGACTCCATCTTAATAGGCAGCTATCCCTAGAATAAATTGCAACGTCAAAACACAAGTAATTCTTTGAGAATAAAAGGAATTAGGACTTCAATTTTTTTCACCTACGAGAAGATAAATTCATTTATTTGGTCTTCATTGTGTCTTCACAATCTTAAAGGGCATAGTGAATGTGGAACTATCTGGTTAAGAGTGATATTATGGAAAGGGGGGCAAAGTTAAGATTTATTTTTCACTGCTTGGTGATGTTAGCCTCAGATTCACTACCTGTCATGACAACCCTGGCAATTCAAACTACAAGCTTAAACAAAAGGTATAAGTTAGCATAAAAGGTAAATATAGTCAGAAATGCTTCTAAAGACAGTAAATTTAGATGGAAAAAAAGGTCATGTTAATGGTTAGTATCCGTACTTCTGATTGAAACCGCGATGCCCATCCATTTGTATCAGCTGCTCCATTTGAAAATATTCCTCCAGAAGGCAGAGGGCTAGCATGTTCAAGCCCACTTTGACCTAAAACTGACGCATTCCCCAACAGTGTAGTTACACGCAATATTTCTGCTCCAAAATGTCAATTTTCAAGAACAAGATGTACCAGTTAGCATTGGTTATTGGTTAGCAGTCACCACAAACAGACAAGACGGATTGTTAACTGAGTTAGTTAAAAATCAATGCTTGCCCCATGAAATATACTTAAAACTTTCAGAAAAACATAGTCTGAGATGAAAGGTCAAGGACCACAATGTTAAGTGATACATAATTAAACAAATAAGAAAGTTAAACATTATTTAATTAGTTTGACAGAATAAAAGCAAATAATGAAAATTAATTATTCAAGTCGCGAGAGTAAAGAAAACTCAAGGACACTGTATATCTACCAATTTGCAGCCTGCATAAAAACAACACTATCTAATCAACACCAGAAGTTAGCACCACTGCAAATAGGAAATTTGTTACAAGTATTTGGTAACAGGGACAGAAAATAAGAATGGGAAAAAACAAACAAATCACTGCAAAAGAGAAGAGGATAATGCAAGAGATAAGGAGGGAAAATGAAGCCAAGCCACAGCAGAAATCGCTTAGAATTAGATCAATCCGCTCATTTCGGCTATAATGTCAGCATCTGAATTTGCCAAATGTGTTGCCCAACATAAGCTGCAAGCAGAGTTCTATAAAACAACGAGGCAAAGTTTTAGCTCACAATGACCATCAGCTTCTTGAGATGTCAAAGATGTCACCAAGTGATAAGGTACTTGGCCAACCAATAACCCAACTATCCCTAGCTCACTCTGTACATTGGAGGATCTCTTTCTGCAAGATGAGTGAAAGATCCTAAGTGCGCAACCTCATTTCCAAATACACAAACCATCCTATTGGCTTTCTTAACAAATCTAATAGGCTCATTTTGTCATCAGTATTACCCACCCCCAAAACAACAAAATATGGTCTTAGTTGATGATTCAGATGTCTGAATCCACACCAAAGATGATCATGTTTAACACAGAAACCTAACACTAAAGATAAAATCCTATAGTAGACTAAAAATGCAATTAATTTCCAACTCCTAAGCAAAACAATTCAAAATGCTTTTGTCCATGCCAAACACCAATAAGCTCTCAAAAATCATCTATCCTATCACAGCAAATGTCAGAGAGGATTGCAAAGAAAAAGGACCAAGATATGAGGTAGGGAAGGAGTAGACTTCTAGACTCCAGATAAAGCCAGCAGCACACATCTAGGATGCCAATCAAATTAACTACAATGCCATATGAGAAATATTGGAATGATACAAAGACACAATATCCCACAGTTTCACAAGAATGCAAGCCAATTAGCCAAATGCAACACAATCAACTGACAAAAGCATATATGACTAGTACTCTAAAAGAAATCCTCTTCTTTGCAAGTTACTATATACGCTTTCATGTCGATCTGTTATAAGCAATCCTTGTGCTCCTCCAACAGGTCCTACTTGATGCTTATATAGCATCCAGTTGGTAAGAATATCTTTTTGAACCCTAAGAGCCTCAGTGCTTTCCCCAGAGCCATTATCATTCTTTAATTTCAGAGCTATCAAAGGCGAGTAGTCAATTGATGTGCTTAATGCTAATATGTACCAAATCCATCAACCTACATGCGATATCAAAAATCGATTTGGGGATGACAAATGAACTTGCCACGGTTCATGACTGAAGTTTCCACTCACCTTAGATTTTCCATCTGTTTTGGAAAGGCCAAACCACTCACTCCCTTCATCGAGAAAACAGGAGACTAAATAAAAAAATAAAAAAATAAAAAAAGAAAGAAAGAAAAAGGAAAAGAAATCATTCGACTTGTCAATCATTAAAGCCCCCTAAGTTCTACCTACCAGCGCAGCGGCATAATGTGACGTTCAATAATGCTGTAAAACCATTCTACACCTAATCATCATTTTACCGAAATGGTAGAACGATAGGATCTTGCTAGCTCCTTTCACTTAATAGGAATGACTTTATTGGGCTTTAATTTTTAACGTATATGTGACATCTAAATCTAGTTTTTCCCAATTATGAGGACCATCATAAACGGAGTTCTATGTCATAGTTTTATAGACAGCATAATAAATGGCAGCAGAATCGATAAATAAGTATCTGCAATTTGAGGTATATCTCGATCCTCAAACACCAGTTAATTAAATATAGTTTCCATTTATAATTGTCTACACTGCACACACCATATGCACAGCCACTTTCCACAATTGCAATAATTTCTTGTTCCTGTTACCATAAAAGGAATCCAACAGAAAAATATCCATTTTTAAATATTATACATGCTTTGATCTACGTGCATGAAAAGCCGTCGTGACAACGAATCTCACCTTGGTTCAACAACCGATAGGTATTAGGAAGCACAGGCATAAACGGACCAATCTTGTGACGCTCACCCAACAACTCTGACAAATATCTGTACAGCAAAAACATATCAAATATCAATTAACCATGCAGTTTGCACAAATATCAACATACTCACAATCATTACCATGCTAGAAATACAAAAACTGCAGTGAAAAGTGTACCAAATCAATCATTTAATAAATCTACCATTAGAACCATTTCATAAACACATCATATGCAGTCAATTATAAGAATTGCGCCATGAATCAGCAACTCGGAGCTCAACAAGATAAAGAACACGACAGCAGTTCTAAACTTTACCGCTCAACACTACACACAAAAAAATAACAACAAAATGATGACACAACAATGAAAAATCCACTGAAGAGGCTTGATTTGATTCATACAGAAACAAACGGCAGCACAAATCCAGTTATCGTATCAATTTCAACACATAAATAACTAAATCGAGCAGTAAAGTCACTGATCAAACAAATTCCACAGCTAAACAGTATCAGTCACAAGACTAGTGATAAAAAACCTAGATCAACCTAGATCTGTTCTACTAAATTAAAGATCCAGATCTCTCTAGATTTTGAAACAAATAGTTAAAGTGAAAAGAGAGAGTGAAAAGAGAGAGAGTTTATACTTTTCTTGCTCGACTACAAGAGCAGAGGAAGCTGCCGATGAGCGAAGACCAGATATATGAGGCGAGTGAGGAGCTGATGGCGATGGAGAGTAAGCCATAAAGCGACCAGCACCAATACCAACGCCAACGCCAACGCCACCACCGCCGCCGCCAGTGGTGGTCATTTTATCAGTACTCCAATCAATATCCTTATAGATATCCGTTTTGTTAGATTTTTTAAAAAAATCAATTAAAATTATTAATCGATAGAGAGCAACAGCAGCAGCAGCGGCTACCACCACACAGAGAGAGATTTTTTTTTTTAGTGGTTGTGGCTACGGCCGCTACCAGACTCGCCTTCTCTCTGTTTCTTCTCTGTTGCGTCGGTGGAATTTGTATTTATATATACATACGTGTGAGCATGTAAAAGTAGTTACTGATTTTATTTTCTTATCCTTTTTTTTTTTGTTACCTCTTACTAGAGCAAATTATAACTTAGTCCCTTTATTTTGTAGAAATGAACTAATGAATTCTCTTTGTTTCGACGCATCATTAATTAACTCTCTTGATTTAATATTAATTTATTTCATAAAATATTATATTTTTCATGAATCTTTCCATATCTTTTTTGTTTTTTATTTATTAATATAAAAAAATAAATTTAAAAAATTAGAAATGATTAAGTTATAACAAAATTTAAAAATATAAGATTAAATAATTATTTTTTGAAACATAAGGAGATTTTTTAAAAAATTAGAGGGATTAATTTATAATTTGCTAAAAAAGTAGTTGCTGATTTTTTTATCCTTCTTTGTTTTTTTTTCTTTTTTTGGTTGCTTTTTACTATTTACTGCACCTGTAAAGAAAGAACAATCATGGGATGTGAGGACGCAGGAATTTGAGTGGGAGGCTTTTTTTCAGTCCTTGAAGTTTTGTTTTATTAAATATTAGTTCTTTTGCTTTTGAAATATATTAGAATAACACTCCTAAGTTTTCTTTTAGACCGTGGTGAAACTTTTATTCGGAAAGAAAAATTGTATTTTTAATAGGATATTTTTATGGGATTTGGGATTAATGTATAATATACTATGAAACGGGTATTCTTTACTCTTTATATATGTTGTTATTATTATTAAAGCTATAAAATAAAATACATTTTCAAATTCAAGTTCCTTGAAATAATAATTCACTCTTTTATTAAAATTCTTAAATACATCACAAAGCATTTAATGATAACATTTAATTATGCATTTTAAAAAAGCTTCCAAATGCAATATATATATAACTAAAACTACAATATACATTAATTAAGATAATCGTGTGTAGATTAGGTATTTAACAATTAAGAAGTCTTTTTATTATATATGTTAAATTGAAATTTCGGTTAAGCTCTTCAATACAATGAAGAAAACAATGAAACTGGTATGTTGAGAAAATTTTCAATAAAATTCATATTTCATATAATAAAAAAATGAAATAAATGATTATTTTGATTCATTTTAAGTTGATAAAGACAGTTAGAATACAAACTCTTGTATTATGTTCTCTTGTCTATTTTAAATTTTTAAAAATAATTAAGCATGAGTTCACGCAGATGGTGAAGTTTGGATCTAAAACATAAAGAACTAAATTAAATTGATTATAGTAAAGTTATATTTGTGTGTATATATGATTTTCAAAAATCATATATAAATCCTATAGAAAATTTTCAATCAAATCCTTGTCTCACACTTGTTGTTGCAATATGACATTAAGTTATCAATTATATTGAACTTAAAATAAAGAAAACCATGTCAAAATTACTGTTTTTAAATGATTGTTTTCATTTGTAAAATGGTTTCAATGTAACATATGTTACTATTTCATTTTTTTCAACAATAATTTATCTAAATGAAAAAATAAATAGTTAAATTATATTTTTTCAACAATGATAAATGACTTTATAAATATTAAATGAGAAAAAAATTCATATGATAGAAAAATAATTTAATGTTATTAAAAACTCTTATTCCATAAATATTTCTAGTAGCACTAAATTTTGACTTTGAAAGGAATAATTGAATAACATAGACATTTTAAAAACTGGAATAAACTTCAAATAAAAAATTTCAATGAAATTCAGCAGAAATAAAACAAACTGAGGGAATAAAACCAAAAAAAAAAAAGTGAAAAAACCCTCCTTTTGCAACTTTGAAAAATTAAAGGACTAGATTAAACAATACTCAAACCCCAGACACGTCAATGTAATTTAACCCCCTTCCTAAAAATGAAAAAATTACCCAACAACTATTTCTTCGTCATGACGCTTGACCACTGCACAAATTCTAATTTGCAGAGATGGATGAAACGATGCCGTTTAAGAACCTACACAGCAGAGAGTATCAAGGTCATAAGAAGAAGGTTTAACACAGTAAACCCTAGTTTAATCCTCCTCTTAGCTGCTATTCATGAATTGATTGAGTGATTTTTTGTTGGTTTTGAAAGGTTCACTCAGTGGCTTGGAATTGCACTGGAACTAAGCTTGCTTCAGGTTCTGTTGATCAAACTGCTCGCGTTTGGCACATTGATCTTCATGGCCATGTAAAATACCTTCCCTTTTATTTCAAAGTTTGAAACTTTATGTTTTTCTATCTTTAAAGTAGGGTTTTTTTGAATGTACAATTGGTATTAGTTAATAGGCTTCTTATATTTTGAGATAATTTGCTACAAAATGTTGTGTTTTGGGATATTATTATTGATTTTGTTGCCGTTGATAGTTGTTTAAGGAGTTTTATAGTTGATTGTTTATAGATGTTTGTGTTTGTTGTAGGGTAAAATTAAGGATATTGAATTGAAGGGGCATTCAGATAGTGTGGATCAGCTTTGCTGGGATCCTAAGCATGCTGATTTAATTGCCACTGCTTCCGGTGACAAGACTGTTCGATTATGGGATGCTCGTAGTAAGTGAATGCTTTTTGTGTAGTTATTGAAAATTGAAGTTTTGGAGTGCCTCATTTGCGTCTTCACAGCAATGTGAAGATATGTATGTTGCATTTTCAGCTTTCGTCGATAGACTATTTGCAAATAGTTGTTACAAAGAGAAACAATACAAGTTTATGTAGTTGGTTGAAGGCGAAAAACTAACTTGAAAAAGAAATGAACTTATTACTGATCTACTTAACATCAGAAAGAAGATGCTCACGTCAGTTTTGGTTCTGCAGGTGGGAAGTGCTCACAGCAAACAGAACTTAGTGGGGAGAATATAAACATCACCTACAGACCTGATGGGACTCACGTAGCTGTTGGTAATAGGGTATGACCTACACTAACATCTAACTTGAAAAAGTATATTCTTTGTTTTTACTTGCATGAGCTGTATAGAGTTCTAATGCATGGTCATCCTAGTAAGCCTTGATTCTTACTTTGTCTTTGAATTTTACTGTAGGATGATGAACTAACTATACTGGATGTTCGGAAATTTAAGCCAATTCATAGACGGAAGTTCAATTATGAGGTAATCTCAAGTTCAGATAAGGACACTCCTATTTATATTAGATTGCAGTTGGACGTATGTTCCGAGAGTGCTTCCTTCCTTGTCAGGCTTGAATGGAAACATCCAGAGGCTAACCATGAAATGATACATGTTTGTCTTCTATTTAATCTTCAAACATGAGTTTTGTGCCCCTCTTCTTTTTCATTTGATGTAAGAACAATGGAAAAGTTCACAAAGGGAATCTTTTACTTCTGCGAGGGGGCCATCTTACAGGACTTTTAGTCGGGGAGGGGGAGGTGGATCTAGGGCCAACTTGTGTTACGCGGATTATTTCTGATCCCTCTCATGTCAAATAACTCCAACATATCAAGCTTTTTTAATACTTTTTTTTCTAGGTAAATGAGATTGCTTGGAACATGACAGGGGAGATGTTCTTTCTAACTACTGGAAATGGTAAGAATTATATTCTGACTATTGGAATTGCTTTTCCTTCGTGTTCCAAACTAATTTATATTTTTCTGCTTATGCTTTCATGTCATTACTTTTTATTCGATCTGTTCAGGTACTGTTGAAGTACTATCATACCCATCTCTTAAACCACTTGAAACTGTCATGGCTCATACAGCTGGTTGCTACTGCATTGCCATTGATCCAAAAGGAAGGTAAGCTTCCAAGCTGTATAACTTCTTTGTGGGTGATTCCCATGTTACGACAGCTTGATACTAACAGTCTCATATAAACATATAAGAAGCATGGAACCATTGATTAAACATCTTCCTACTGTGATAGATATTTTGCTGTTGGAAGTGCTGATTCCTTAGTCAGCCTTTGGGATATCCCAGAGATGCTTTGTGTCCGAACATTTATGAAGCTTGAGTAAGTGATGGTTATTTTTTGTTAATATGCTGTGTACTAGGATGTTCTTCTCTTTCTCGCATTACTTTGATAAACTGTATGGTATGGCATATCATAATCCTTTTGTATTCTCTCAGATGGCCTGTCCGGACAATAGGCTTCAATCACACAGGAGATTTTATTGCTTCTGCCAGTGAAGACTTATTCATAGACATAGTATGTATTCTTGGAACTTCTCACTTAGTTCTTCTTTCCAATCTCAACCACTCCTTTTCTCCTTAGAGTTATACGAGGGGGATATTTCTCCAGTTTGCTAATAGTTTATACCTACTCATTTATCTGCTTTCCACCCCCATAATCAAGAATATACTGACAAGATTTCTACTGCATGGAACAGTCCAATGTCCATACTGGGCGATCAGTGCATCAAATCCCATGTCGAGCTGCCATGAACAGTGTGGAGTGGAATCCCAAGTACAATTTACTTGCTTATGCTGGGGATGACAAGAACAAATATCAGACTGATGAAGGTATTGAAATTTTTTATGTATTGTTTTGCATTAAAGAAGTTGGAGAACTTGTGTTGACTGACTTTTGGTTGCTTGGTGAAATTACCTTATTTTGTCTTCTCATTGCCTCCGTTGCAGGTGTTTTTCGAATATTTGGCTTTGAGAGCGCCTAATTATAACAGAGAAGAAGAAATCGTTATATACGTTTTAATTTTTGGGTTTCTTCGAGATTGCTGTATTCCTGTTAAATTAAGCACCTGTATTGATCTCAATAGATATGCTTTTCTTATGTGTCTCAATTAACTTTTTTGGCAGTTCTGTTGCCTTCCATTTGCATGCGCCAGTAAAAATATCTTACAGTATGTAAGAAAAGCCAGTCAAACAGAGATGCAAGATTCAATTCTCCCAAGAGAAAAATGGAACTCTTTAGGCTTGACTGCTGCCCTATATGGGAGAGATTTAATCAATTTGCTTTCAATTTTTTTTTATTAGTTTGCACCAAGTAAAAGTAGCTAACAAACGGGACTTTTTCTTTTCTTTTTTCAATTTCTGTAAAGAAAAACAATGAACCTTTTATTGGATGAGAGAAGAATTGAAATTTATTGTACATTGTACTGCAACTGCGCGCACAACAACACAAGCTGTGTTGCTTATTCAAAAAACAATCTGGATTTCCAGTCAAGACCTTGATCTTTCGTAACTAAACAAGGATTTTTAGTCGCAAGCAGGATGTGTTATGTCGGAGTTTACGTTGGAGGGAAAGAATCCCATGCGCCAATTTGTATTGGAAGTGTTTGCTCAAAGTTAATTGCAGAGAATGGATGCTGCCACAGGATGGAAGTTTCTTTGAGGGTAGCAACTCTGGTAAGTGAAGAACTTGCACCATTTTGCAGAAGAGAATTCAGGGAAGAAAGATCTGACCCATTTCCTTTTTAGTCCGTAAAATTAGGACTCCACAGCTGACAAATGATCGGACCAAAATGCTTCATCCCCTCGAGGAGATCAAAGACTGAACAACGAGGCAATGCCATTATCAAGCCTCCCCAATGCCATTATCGTGCACCGGAGACCTGCCAAAATACAACAGGAGGACATATTTAGCAACAAGAACACACATTCAATTACCGAGTTTCCTGTAATTGTCATTTGGCATGATTTTGCTGTTACCTTCGAGCAATAAATCAGAGAAATTGCCAGCAAATTCCATATAGTTGTTGATTAAACAAGATCATTACAACCTGCAGAAACAAAGCATTCGGTTAGATCCCAAGAGCTTAAAGAAGAACAACATGAAGGGGCAACTATGCTGATATAGCACCTGGATACAGTTTTTACCTTCGTTCTTGAGCACCGAGTTAGGATGATTCCACAGGCTAGCAGCAATCTTCCCTGGTCAGAATCAGCAAAGCATGAATTTGGAAGCAGGAAACACCAAACCTGTGAAACAAATAAGACAAATTGTGATCAAATACTGCGAACACCAAGTAAGTGGCTTCCATTTGATCTCAACACTCGAGCTCTTCATTCTCTTTCCACTCAATGGCTCCTTTGACAAATCAAAACTAGCCCCTTTCATTCTCAACTCTTGAATACACCTAGTAAGAGCTCTATTATCATTCTTCTCTCTTTGCAATTGCCTCCACACCTTCCAGTATCTGCAAACCTTAACATGAGCCAAGAACACAAACACAAGTGAAGTACAGACAGACACAAGAGAAGGTATCCACCAATTCCTGCAAGTATGCTCTTTACTATCAACGGAAGAGGTAAACAAAATAGTTAAGAAAATCCCATGAAAGACTAAAAAGAAGCAACAAAGTTGAAAGATTTCGCGCTTGATAGAGTCCATTCTTGACTCTTTCATAGCAATTCTACGGCCAAAAAGATCCTCTTCTCTTTGCCATAGCTTGAGGAGCAAAAGGTGGCCTGGACTATTAGAGATTTCTGCTAATGGGTGGTGTTGAATTGCTGTTATTATGTTCACGGCACAAACCAGTTTCTGTTGGTGCTCTTCATCTACTGGGATTTCTACGATATGGGAATCTTTCATTTCAGCCATTGTTGAACAGAAATGAGAGTTTCTCAAGAGAATTCAATTAACAGAAGCAAAGAACACAAGAAAGGAAACGAAATAATGAACTGGAAGATTGGAACAAAAAACAGAAAACCAAAATAGGAAATTGCTATTAAACAGGAAATAAGAGAAGGCTTGAAGAGGGATTGGATTAGAGAAAGTAGAGAGATTTAGATTAGATTGCTTGATTGTTGTGAGAGACAGATGGTGGAAATTTTCAAATATTTAAATTGTTGAGTCATGCCTGGGATCTTATCAGTTAGAATCCATGCTACAACGGTCGGATTTTATCTGTTCATAACGGCAATATTCTTGAAGTTAATAATGGGCCTGCTAACTAGGGCTCCAAAAATTGGGTCATCTTGTCTGTTAGTCAGAATTAGGGTTGGCCCAGCAGACCGCTGGTAAGTTTTTTCTCTCACTTCTTAATTAATTTCATATAAGTTTATTTATTAACAACTGATTATTTACGAAAAAACGCTAAAAAAAGGGTAAAAGGTTGTAGGAACATATATATATATATATATATATATATATATATATATATATATATATAATTTTATTTAGAAAGAAACCAATATATGAATTTAAAAAAAAACAATATATATTTTGCTTTAAAAAAAAGATTAATTATGTAAAAAAAAGAAAAAAGAAAATCAATTCGTGAAATAGTTGCAAAAACTATAACAAAAACTTGCAAGTTAGGTTTAATTCCTTTCCTTTCAACCCCTCGTCGAATTTACCCACATTAGGATTATTTATTAATGTTTGATCGATTTGATGGATTCACCTTCTAAGACGAAAATTGGTTCTAGAATATTATCACTCACTTTACTCCCTTCTATTTATAATTTTTTTATTGAGTACATTATAAATCAATCTCTTTATTTTTGAGAAATATATAAATAAATTTCTCTTGTTTAAAAAAATAATCATTTAATTTTTTTCTTCTAATTTGCTCATTTCAAAAAATAAAAAGATATTATGGAAATATTAATACGAAAAGAAAATAATTTTAAATTAAGCATAATTAATACTTGTTAAAGAACTGAATAATTATTTAAAAAAATTAATTCTTTTCTCAAAAGCAGAAAGATTAATTTATAATTTTTTATTTATTTTCAAGGTATCTCAAGCCCAAACGCACGGACTAATCGTCGTTGTTTTATCGAAAACACAAAACGAATACAATTATTTAAAAAAATTTCTTCATATACAAGCACTCGAGCTCAAGATTATTTTATAATTTTCTCATTTGTAAGCTATATTCTTGAAGCTAATAATGGGCATGCCAATTAGGGTTGGGCCATCCTATCCGTTAGATCGGATTAGCATTGGCCTAGCTGACTTGTAGGATGTTACTTGTAAGCTTTATTTTTTTAATTTATATTTGATATAAAGTTTTTTTTCATTAGCAAATAATTATTTAAGAAAAAAATAATTAATTCATTTCTCAAAAGTAAAAAGATTAATCTATAATTTTCTTATTATTTCTTTTTATCTACAAGGTATCCCAAGCCCAAAGGAGCGGACTAATTCTCGTTATTTTATCGAACATACAAAATAGATATAACTACTTAATAAAATTTCTTCATGTATAAGGACTCGAGCGCAAGATTAATTTATAATTTTCTCATTTGTGAGCTATATTCTTGAAGCTAATAATGGGCATGCTAATTAGGGTTGGGCCATCCTATCCGTTAGATCGGATTAGCATTGGCCTAGCTGACTTGTAGGATGTTACTTGTAAGCTTTATTTTTTTAATTTATATTTGATATAAAGTTTTTTTTCATTAGCAAATAATTATTTAAGAAAAAAATTACTAATACAAAGGTAAAAGCTATAAGAATTTTTAGATTTTAAATTTGTTATGTGATAATTTCATTTCTTTTAATTAAGAAGTGTTCATACAATTTATTTATTTATTGTCAAATAAGAGCCCTCAAAAATCTTGAGCATCCTTAATTAATTAATTCAATAACATTCTTTTTAGTATTTTAACTCCATTTTTAGAGTTGTGTTCCTTTCTCTTCTGTATAAAAAAAACAATATATAAACATGAACTTCACTTTCATGTGAGAAAGAAAAGTATAATAAAATTTATAATAAACTTGAACAAAATTTTTAATTGGAAATCTCAAGTTTTTTTATATTTTTATGTAGTCTTATTTTATGGATAAAAATCCCTTTATATCGGCCTCTATTTCCTTTTCTTTTTAGAAAGAAAATACATTTTCAGTTTCGTGAGCAATGCAAATATTCAAAAATTCATAATTTACAAATTCCGATTTAATTTTCACCCGTACCCTTAAATCTGTGCTCATATAATTTTGAATAAACAAAGACAAAAATAATTCATGGAACTTCACCTCTCCATTAACCAACCATTTTCTTATAAAACAACCTTTAACCGATCCCTACTATTCAACCCAGAAGAAAAATGGCTACTACAATATCAGCAGCTGCGCCTCTCTCCGCCGCCATGGCTAGCCCTTCTCTACTCGCCAAAAGACAGCTGTGACAACCCTAAGGCCGGCTCTTCCCAAGGTGGGGCATCTCTTTTTGGCTCAAAAGCCGGTCATGGAGGACGGGTAAAGGCAATGGCAGCATACAAAATGAAGCTTATCACTCCTAAGGTGAACAGGAGTTTGAATGCCCCGATGATGTCTACATCCTTGACCGGGCTGAAGAGTTAGGCATTGGCCTTCTATTCTCATGCAGGTTATCTGGTGCTTGCTCTTTGTGCATGAGCTGGCAAGCTAGTGCAATGGAGTGTGGATCAGTCTGACATTAGCTTTCTTGGAGATGACCAGATAGAGGATGGTTGGGTTCTCACCAGCTGTTATGCTTTGCCTAAGTCTGATGTCGTCATCGAGACACACAGAGAGGAAGAGCTTGCCTAAGTCTGATGCTGCCGAGCTCGATTCCTTTTTACTTCCGTTCTGAGTGTTTCCAAGGTTTTTAATTCTTTATGCATGTTGTATGTTGATTGTTTCCAAAAATTTTATTAGAAAAAGTTATAAATATATTTAATTAGGAATAATTTTTAAGTTTAATCATAAAAATTGTTAGAAAATTGAATTGAAATTCTGTTTTAATCAATCAAACTAAAGTTTTCAATTTCTAACTTATTGATTGTGACTTATATATAAAGGTTACTTGAGTTTATGGGCACTATTCAATATATTTTTAGCTTAATTTATTTTTATCATAAGTTGTTTATAAAAAAAAAAAACTTTGAATGATGACTTAAAAACTATTTTGTATATATAAATCAAAACAAATGGAATCTTAATTAGTGTGACTTAATATATTCTACATTGAAATAATCAATTAAAAAAAATCTTAAAACCAAAAAGAAATTGGTTTTTTTTTTTTTAATTTGAACCATGCACTTTTCTATTTTTTTTTAATTGAGATTCTTTAATTATTCTTTTTTGCTTGATTTAGATATCAATTTTTTGCTTCAAACCCTTCTTTGTTATATCAATATAAATCAATTATTAATATGTCATTTATATTCTTTGAAATTTATTATTTTACAATATTATATGTCGATACTTGATTGATGACATTATAACAATAGTTTATGGTAGCAATTCTATTTTTAATAGTCTTGAGCAAAGATCATTTCATCACGTAATGTAATAAATGACAGAAATTAATCAGAAAATACTTGATTAATTACTTTTTAAACAATAAAAATTAAAAATAAAGTTTATAGGATAGATTGAAAAACCAAAAAGAAAAAAAGGTTTATTTGTAACGCAATTAGCGCATGACAAGAACATAGAATCCGATTTAGCCTCTCTTTCGCACCCAACATTGGAATTACCACTTTTTCAAGTATTTTATTTTATTTTCTCTCTTTTTCGCTGATGAATGCTTGCTTAACAACACCTGTTCATCTAGAACAAAATATGGAAGCATCCATTGGAGGGGTTTTAAAGCACATTTCTAAAATTCCCATGAAAATTTAGAAGGTTCGACGGATTAAAATATAGAATGTGAAAAGAACATCTCAATCCCACAGCTTAGATCCTCCAAACCGCTCTAGCTAGCTAGGTATCCTTCGTAGTACAAGGTTTTGGATCAGCAAAGTGGATGCATGCACTTTACTTAAAGATTTGATTCTCAACTCTTGAGTATGAAACCATTCTATTTTAGAAAGGTGATTTGATGAGGTAAACCGGTCGTTTGGTTTACTTAATAGTGTTCTTGTTTTATTCTTGATTCCACTTTTGACGAGGCAAATGGATTATGACACCGATCAATTGGTATATTCCACGACAAGAGAGCGAAAGTCGTGAAATTTGGGTTCAAGACTATTTGATTGTTAAATCTTTCATGTCATGTCGATCTAAAAATTTAAAATATTAATTAAATAAAATATATTTTATATTATTTTCTAATATTTTTTTATATTATTTTTTAATAAAATATACTTTATGTATGAGTGAAAAGTTAAGAGTATGATTAACCTTTAATTAAAGCAAAAATTTGACTCAAATTATACCAAAATCAAAAATTATTTTTAACCAAATCTTTCATTTGAATAAAAAATTAAGAAATAACTTGAAGATTAATAATTCAATCTATTCTTATACAATAAGGTATTTTTTAATTCATATTATATATTTTTAATTGAGTTAATTTTATCAATAAATATACGTGAAGTTTTTAATGTATCTTTTTATCGATATTTTCAAATCAAATCACTAAAATTATTCGCGTGATTTGCACGTAACTAATTTTATTCTTTAAGATATCCTTACAAATAATCAAATAGAAGCTTTTAATGTGTAAATCATACCATTAATTTTGAAAATTTAATCTGAAAATCTTATCGGAAAAATAGATTAGATACTTAACACATATTTAAGGGTATAATTAATTTAATTAGGAATAAAACAGATTAAAAACTTTTCTATTATATAAATACATATTTAGCCATTAAACCATAACTTAAATCAAATCAATTTGCAAATATTATATACTAAACATAACTTTAATAAGATAACATTCATGCACTACGAGATGCCCTAACCATTAAAATATAGTCAATATGAACTCATTTATTTTTCTGATACCCCAATATAGATGGCCAGTTGTGATTGGGATATGAACCACAGCGGTTCATTTTCGGGACCTGAATTTCTGAACTCTGCTCAAAAGTGAGTGGGAAAGTGAGAGTAAATTATAAATTAGTCCTTTTATTTTTATGAGATAAATTAACTAATTATTCTTGTTTTAAAAAATAATTATTTGATTCCCTTACTTTTAAATTTTCTTGTAACATAATTCTTTCCTTTCAATTTTTTTATTTTTTAAGAGTTATAAAAAGAAAAAATAAGTAAATAATATAGAAGAATTGATGAGAAAATATGATATTTTTTGAAATAAAATAATACTATTAAATTAAGCAATGTTTACAATGATCAAGAGAATAAATAAATAATTTTTTACACAAAAGGGACTAATTACCACGTTTCTCAAATCTAAACGGACTAATTTATAATTTAATTCGGCAAGCAATTATTTATTGCAGAAAAGTTTGTTTGGGAAATTTAATGGCCAAAATGGTTGCCACGAGTGCGTACTTCTTCACCTGCGAATCACTCAGTTCCAGCAGAGGAGCAGTATCAACATATCCAGAGTAAATTATTGTTTGATACCTGTATTTTTAATAAATTAATTATTTAATCCTTTTATTTTAAAAAATCAGAGATTAAGTCCCTATATTTTCGTATTCCGAGGTTTTTTGCCCGAGTTAATTATAAATTAGTCCCTTCATTGTCAAAAAAAATGAATTAACTAGTTCCTTAATTTTAAAAATAATTATTTTTATCTTTTAATCAACATAAAAATGAATTAATTAGTTATTTATTTCAAAAACTAAATATTTTAATCTTTTAATCGATATTGATCACGTTTAATTTTAATATTATTCTATTTTAAAAAATAATTTATTTTCTCATCAATCTTTGTATAATATTTATTTAAAAAATAAAATAAATTGGAAAAAGGACATAAAATTGATGCAATTGACTAAATAATTAGTTTTTAAAACAAAAAAAAAGATTAATTTATTTATTTCTTAAGAGTAGATGAATTAATTCACAATTTAAGCTTTTTTTTTTTTTTTTTTGCCCATGTTGTTTTTGCTGTTCCATATTTTAAAGTAGATTTTTGGTCTATGCAATCTTTGTTGGATAAAATAAAAACTAGCCAAAGGACAGTTATAGATGAAATTGTGCAATCATTATCATTGAGAATATCTAAACTAAAACTAGGAGCAAAAACATTATTTCGTATCCCCAACATAAAAGCAACCATTCTAAACTAAAACCAGGAGTAGAAACAGCATAATTATAAAGTAGAGATATTATTTCGTATTCTCAAAATAAAACTAATAATTTTGAACTAAAAAACAGAGATCTTATTTCGTATCTTCGGGATAAAATTAACCATCCCGAACTAAAATCGGAACGTAAACTAACCCTTCTGAACTAAAATTAAGAATAAAAACAACAAAAGCGAGAGGAGGGAAGGGAGGGGGAAGGATGAGTCGCTTTATCTTAAATTGGTCTAACTTGTTTGTGCACGAACCCAATCTATTTTGTTTGTCTTTTTCAAATTTATAACATATTTTTTTAATAAAATATTATCTTATAGTTCTTTTTTAGCTATGTGAGATGAAAAGTTTAGATAATTTTTTTGAATATTCTTATCATATTATCTCGTAATTCTTTTTTAGCTATATGAGATGAAAAGTTTAGACAACCTTTTCGAATATTATTATCATATTTGAAGCCAACACAAAGATGGGAGAAAGAAATTGATCATGTATACATTAAAAGAGAGAGAGACTTTGATAAGCATTTTTCATCCTTGAAGCAGCGTGGTCTGCTGCTTCTTCAAGGTGAGCCGCCAGTGCCCAGTGGTGGTGTTAGTGTGGTTTCTTAATTAATCTTTCTTAATTAATTATTTAATCTAAACATAATCTGAGAAAAAAATAACTAATCTAAAAAAATCAATGAAAAAGTTAAGTTATTGATAAAATTAAAATATAAAATAAATATTTTTAAAATAAGAGAATTTAATTATTTTATTTTTCAAAATAAAAGGAATTAATTTATAATTTACTCTAGAAATGTTTTAAAATCGACCGCATAAAAAATTTAATATTTATTGATGCGTAAGCTGGTTGAATGACAGGTGTAATAAAAATAAGAAAAATAAAACTCAACTTTCCCGGTTACCAGTCGAGTCAACCCGAACAAAACCCGAGTCGGCCACTCCCATCCAAAAACATAAAAAAAATCTCTCTCAGTCTGAAAACATCAACGTCAGCACCAGTACTCTACAGTATCAGGTCTGTTTCCCATTTTCCCAAAAGGAAATTACATTTCTTCTCCAAAAAGAAACAGCCTTCCCTCAGCTCCGTCCCCTCCTCCAAGAAATCAAAATCCAAACTCCTATATAAGCAGAGACACAGACTTTGCTACTTATTTCCTAACAACTTCCTCTTACCTTCAAAAAAATCTCAAAATCAGATGCATCTCTACAATGCGTGGCTGCCGCCACCTGTAGCGGAGGAGGCCAAGAAGGAGAGAGACTCCTTCCGTGGCGTACTCAATTCCGTCAAGGACTCTTACAAACCTGACGATCCTGATTCCGTTTACTCCACTCTCAAATGGATTTCGGTCCTCGAGCTGTTAGTCTCCGTCTCTCTCTTTTCAATTTCATCACTAACAATTGAATTCACCTTTGTTCGATTCTAATTGAGTGTTAATTACAGTTTTATTAAGGCCAAGAGCGAATTGAATTTGGAAGATGTAGCTGAACTCGTTCAAATTGGAATTCAGTTGTTCAATATTTCGCAGAATAAGCTTTATGCTCAGGTATTATTATTTACGAGTTATGACTCTGTTTAGAGCTGAGTAATTAATTAATGATGACTATTTTCTCTTTTAATTTACATTTTTGAGTTTAAATTGTAGACGTTTGGATTTTTTTTTTTAGATGAGATGGGGAAATTTGTTAGTGAGAGTGTTAAATAGGTATAGAAAGAAGTTGGTTTTCAAAGTACAATGGAGGCCTTTGTATGATACACTTATTCATACTCATTTTACAAGGTAAGGATTTTATTTTTTATTTTTTTAATTTGCTTATTTGCTGAGTTTTTGTTGATAGTTTTAATGTTTATGATTTGTGTAATGTGCATTACAGGAATACTGGTCCAGAAGGGTGGAGATTGAGACAGAGGCATTTTCAGGCTATTACTTCACTTGTTAGGTCCTGCCGGAGATTCTTTCTGGCTGGTTCGGCTTTGGAGATTTGGAATGAGTTTAGGTGAGGTTTCTTTGGTTTTTGTCTTTCTTCTTGATATTTAATTTATGAGGTTTTATTGTGGTGTTACTCATTGTCAAATAGAATTATATGTTTTTGCTATGTTTCTGTGTATTTATTTCGGGATATATGTGAAGTTTTCAAAATAGTTAGGACTGCTCTATTGCTTTTTTAAGGCTGCTAAATGCAGAATTGGAAACTCGTATATGGTGTTGTATATATTTTTTATAGTGGTTTATCATTTTAGTGGTAATGGAATCCAATTTAGAAAAAGAAATTAAAAAAAAAAAACAATTAGAAAGGTTGGTTTTGTTCATTCAGCTTATTTGATGTTAAAACTGTCAAAAGGCCATCTCAACCCAAAAGCTTAAGCTTTTAGGCGAGGCCCCAAGATATGATTTATATGACTTTCTAACACACCTCCTAAAGTGAAAGCCTTTTGACCTTGAAATTTGCACGGACCCACACTACCTTGTGCTTAATTAATTAGAAGAGAAATATGGGTGGTGAGATTTGAACTCGTGACCACTTGGTCAATAAGGCTATGATACCATGTCAAAGGACCTTCTCAACCCAAAAGCTTAAGCTTTTAGGTGAGGGCCCAGGATATGATTTATATGTCTCTCTAACAAAAACAACCAATGCAAAAAGCCTAAAAAAGTTTTGATTAGATTAAATGATGGTGTAATCATTCTGGTGAAGAATCTGCTGACATCATAAAGTTTCTATGATTTCTATATTCACTTTTGGAAATTTTCTTGAAATAAACTTGCAGTGCTCTATTGGAAAATCCATGGCATAATTCAGCCTTTGAAGGATCTGGGTTTTTGAGACTGTTTCTACCGACAAACTTGGAGAACCAGGACTTCTATACAGAGTACGTGGTGCATAGTTTTCGGAATTCTTAATTCTTTATGGTTTTTGGACATGTTGTTGGAGCAAGTTTTATAACATATTGTTGGCATGGCAGTGCTTGGGTTAAAAATAGTTTGGACTTGTGGGACTCGATACCAAATTCCCAATTCTGGAACAACCAGTGGGCAGCTGTAATAGCACGTGTTATAAAAAACAACAACTTTATCGACTGGGAATGCTTCTTACCAATGCTTTTCAGTAGATACTTGAACATGTTTGAGGTGAGCTTACAGATATTTTAACTCATGTTTTATCAGTCTCTAGGTTAGGGGAATAGTGTGACTTGCATGATGTTGAGATTTGAGGAGTAGAGGTGCACAAGTGGTAGGATTTCATTATTCTTCAGCAACTGGTATTACAGCTCATAATGATAGCAAGGACTAGTCAAACCATGCTGCTGGTTTTTTTAAACCCTCTGTAGTTAGTACTTCATAAGTTCCTGTAGCGGGGAAAAAATGGGTAGAGGAACAGGAGAAGAGAACCTCTTCCCCTAATCCACCAAAGACATGCATTGACAAATTAACTATGAGGTAGTTTGCATGGGTTCCTTGTTGGAACATTTTTTTAAAGATTCTACAACATCAAGAAGAGGGAAGAAGTAGGGACAATTGGAATACAGAGGAAGTAGTGTACTAAACATATGATCAAATGCCATGTGCATTTAAAGGAGGCTTGGCTCTAAATTCTCTATCTGTATATGAAGATTTCTTGCTCGTTTCCTGGAGTTCTCTGTCTATATTAATCGACTTCTTGCCATTCTGATTTACAACTATCATGCCTTAATCTGGCAATCACAGGTTCCTGTGGCAAATGGAAGTGCTTCATCTCCATTTTCAGTTGACGTTCCAAGATATACAAGATTCTTATTCGCCAATAAAACATCCACCCCAGCAAAGGCCATTGCAAAATCAATTGTAAGATCAATAAACTTGTCCGCCCATTTTGGTTCTTTCAACAATTGATCCCATATAAGTGTTTTCTATATCGTCATCCTATGTTGTTTCTTTGCATATGTAGGTCTATCTACTTAAACCCGGAAGTGCAGCTCAAGAGCATTTCCAGAAATTGGTCAACCTCTTAGAACAGTTAGTTCACTAACATACAAATACTTTAATTATCATTTCCAACCATGTGATTCGTTTGAAATTCTTACAATTGGCTTGTTATTGGGTTTTATTGTTGAAGATATTACCATCCCTCTAATGGTGGTCGCTGGACTTATTCGTTGGAGCGGTTTTTGCTGCATTTGGTAATTGCGTTCCAGAAGCGCTTACAGCATGAGCAGCAGTAAGGATATATCTGTGTCTTTTTCACTGGTTGCTTCAAGAATGTTTTGAGCTCTCACTATTCAAATATTGATGTTACAGGGGCACTTATAGCAATGGACAGGCTGATATGTTTCTTGGAAGATCAGAAAGGACTTATTTTGTCAATGTTTTGCTGAAGTTAATTGATCGCGGGCAATATAGCAAAGATGAACATCTATCTGAGACAGTTGCTGCTGCAACTTCCATTTTGTCATATGTGGAGCCCACTCTGGTTCTTCCATTTTTAGCATCTCGATTCCATATGGCCTTGGAGACGGTTAGTAGTGGTGTATGTGTTATTTTAGGGCTCGATGCTCAAATTTGATACTAACCCTGGCTTGTTAAGATTACAGAAATTATATTTTCAAGGGATATTTAGTATTCTCCTCTTCTTTGGATTATGCTTCTTTCATCACATTAACTTGTCTTTTTTCTGACCTTTGTGTCTAGTCAGATGACTGCCACCCACCAGTTGAAAACTGCAGTGATGTCAGTAGCATTTGCAGGACGTTCTCTGTGTCTTACATCCCTCTCAAGTACAGGGAAACAGGAGGATTGTGGTGGGGTTGATGATGCATATGTTGATCTTCTAACGATCTCACTATCCAATGCTTTACTTGGTATGGATGCTAATGATCCTCCCAAAACATTGGCAACCATGCAGTTACTTGGGTCCATATTTTCCAATGTGAGAGTTGAAGCCTTGATAATTTTCTCATTTGTGTCTTATATTTCTGTGATTTATGACATGGTCATTTATTTTTCTATTATAATTGCAGATTGCTACTTTGGATGATGAAACTGATCAGTTCATGCCAATGATCCAGTTTTCTGAATGGTTGGATGAATTCTTATGTCGCTTATTTTCATTACTTCAACATTTGGAACCTAGCAGTGTTCTGTAAGTAACAGCATTCAGTTTTTCATCTCTCTCTCTCTCTCTCTTTTTTTTTTTTTTTTGCATAACTTCATATACTTAGAAATACTGATTTGCCCTTCTAGTCAGAACAACTAATTATCATTGTTATAGGAATGAAGGCATACATTCATCGGCAACATTGGGAACCTTTCTTGTAGATGATGGTCCTTTCTACTACTGTATGCTTGAAATCTTGCTTGGAAGGCTATCAAAATCGCTATATAATCAGGTTTCAATTGTTCTCTTCATTCAGTCACCATAACCCTTCCTTGGGAAGGACATTGTTTTGTAAACTCTTCCTTTCATGGTAACAGGCGTTGAGAAAAATTGCAAAGTTTGTTAGGACAAATATTCTTCCTGGAGCAGTTGCAGAGGTTGGATCGCTTTGTTGTGCATGTGTACATTCAAACCCAGAAGAGGCTGTTGCTTCTCTTGTTGATCCAATCTTGTCATCTGTTATATCCTCTCTGAAAGGAACACCTGCTACAGGCTTTGGAGGGAGTGGGATTCCTGATGCTGAAGTTTCAATAAAGGTTTTTTTATTTGTTAGATGGCATAAGTTGTTAAATTTTATTTTGCAGAAAGATTCTTAGTGAAAATTGATGGCTTCTTCCCCAGGCAAAACCAACACTCTCTCCAGCTCTTGAAACGGCAATCGATTATCAATTGAAAATATTATCAGTTTCCATAAACTATGGAGGTCCCGCTCTTCTTCGTTACAAGAATCAGTTTAAAGAAGCTATCTTGGCAGCTTTTGAATCTCCCTCTTGGAAGGTTTCAATTTACTTCCAGTAATTTGTTTGATTCATAAATGAAGATCCTACTTAAATGATGTTTGTTTAGATAGGATGCATATTGGATATTTTGTTGAATATTTTAAATGGGTCTCTGTTTTCTTGTATTACGTTACATATTTTTTTGGAAAACTCTCTCATCATATGATAGGTTAATGGAGCTGGTGATCACCTCCTTCGATCCCTCCTTGGAAGCCTGATTGTTTATTATCCTACCGATCAATACAAGTAAGCTCATGTCTTTTCATCTACATGTGATTGGATTGAATTCTTTCTGTTGTTTATTTATTCAACTTTACTTTGAATTAAAATTGAAAATGTTGATTTCCTAGGTGCATTTCACGGCACCCAGCTGCTACGGCATTAGAAGAATGGATCAGCACAAAAGATTATGATAGTGATGGACCATTGATGGCCCCCAAGTGGCATGTTCCAAATGCCGATGAAGTTCAGTTTGCAAATGAACTTTTGAACCTTCATTTTCATTCAGCTTTAGATGACCTTTTGAAAATATGCCAAAAGAAAATACATTCTGATGCAGGTAATCGTCATTTTCTTTATAATGTAGTTTTCTTCCTGTAGTTTTCAGATTGTGTTGGAATTCTTATCTTGGGGAGCTTAGATTCTTGCTAGGTCAGGAAACCAATAAAAATAATGGTCTTCTAGAAAACCTCTGAACCTGACGACTTATCAACGAATCAAAATATTTTAGGAAGGTTCATTCTGCAATAAATCTCATATAATCATGTCCTAATGTTTATGACCCTGCGTGTCCTAGTCGTCGAAGAATTTTCCCAATTTATTGACTATATGCTATTTTTGCATGTAAAACATAAATTTTGCAATTTATATTTCATTATTATTCTTTCGCTAATTACATGCAATTTGTTAGCAGGAAATGAGAAAGAGCACTTGAAAGTGACTCTTTTGCGTATTGATTCTTCATTGCAAGGTGTTTTATCTTGCTTGCCTGATTTCAGCCCATCCTCCAGGAATGGGATTGTTGAAGATACAAATCATACTTCTTTCTTGATAGCCGGAGCAACTGGTTCAAGTGTTGGCAGTGCTGGACTGCGTGAAAAAGCTGCTGAGGTTATACATGCAGCTTGCAGGTAAGTTTGGATTTTAGTATTTATCTGGATATTGTTTACTCATATTGAGCAAGTCTGATTTGCTGTTATATTTGCAACACTTCCCAGATATATGTTAGAGGAAAAATCAGATGACAGCATTCTCTTGATACTCATTGTTCGTATTATGGATGCTTTGGGAAACTTTGGTAATGGACTTTACATTCAGATGAATAGAATTCCTTTCAAATTTTTTTGAGATTGCTTAGAGTAGTTTTTCTGCACACCTATTTTCGACATCCCCTTTTTTGTGCCCTGACTTGTGCATTTCATCCCTTAATCTGTGTCAAACAGGAAGTTTGGAGTATGAGGAGTGGTCGAATCACAGGCAGGCTTGGAAGTTCGAATCTGCTGCTATTTCAGAACCTCCAATGAATTTTATCGTGTCTTCTCATTCTCAAGGAAAGAAAAGGTAAGAAGTCCTGTCATGAGATTGCCTTGTATTGTTACATGAACCTTGCATTCGTGGCTGGGATTTAAATGTTTAATGTAATCCATTTCAGGCCCAGGTGGGCTCTTATTGACAAGGCATACTTGCATAGTACTTGGAGGTCATCACAATCTTCCTATCATCGGTTTCGTTCAATTGGGAACTTCTCTCCACCAGACCATGCAATTCTTTTGATGGATGATCTGCTAAACCTTTCTTTGCATAGATATGAAACTGTTCGTGCGTAAGTTCTTCAGTCTTCTGCGTATGTGATCAAACTGGCTTTTCTTATTCATATAAGATTCTATTGGGTGATAGGGTTGCAAAAGATTTTAACTAAAGGCTTGACTTGTTTACCATGCCATCGCTTCTGCTATTTTGTATTTCAGACAAATGAATAAGAAAAACAATTATGGCATATCATATCTAATATTCACTGTTGAATTTATGCCAGGCTTGCTGCAAAATCTCTGCTGAAGATGATTAAGAGATGGCCATTGATGATTTCAAAATGTGTGCTCTCACTTACTGAACACTTACGGAATCCCAGCTCACCAGAATATGCAGTGCTGGGTTCTTGCACAGTCCTTTCTACGCAAACAGTTCTCAAGCATTTGACAACAGTAATATTCAGAACAAATTGGTTGCAATACATTTCTGGTTGTAAAATTAACTGATATGCCATCTTTTATTTCAGGATGCAAAAGCATTATCTTTTTTTCTTCTTGGTATTCTTTCAAGGTGATCCTTGATTCCTTTTCTTATAGATTGGAGTTTGTTGATAATTGTGAAGTCATATAGACTCTACCCTGCCTTTACTTTTTGTTTTTTGCAGCTCGCATCATGAATCACTGAAAGCTCAGAAAGCAATCAACGAGGTCAAATCTCCCATCAGTATTAATTTTGATTGTGTCTCTGAATTTTCTTCCTCTAATTTTTTGAGTGCCAACAGCTTTTTGTTATGTACAACATCCACTTTTCGGGAGTGTCTAGAAGCATTTTCATGACATCAGATAATCAAATAGATGGACCAAATTTTACTGATTTGGTTTCTCAGATTGGATCGATGAGTTTTGATTCTACTGGTTTGCATTGGCGGTAAGTATTGTTCTTGTTTACTTGTTATTTGTATCATCTGCTGAGCTGCCTGCAGAATTGGATTCAAGTTTAGTATGAACTGTTTTGGCCTGTTGATGAAGGCCCATGTATTGGCAGACTTAGATATAGTTTCTGGTAGATTAAGAATTACCTTTGATGCAAAATGCAAAAATAATTAGTTTTGAATGGAATTTTTGAAGATGCAGAAGCTCTGTGTTTTCTAAACTCTTGGCCTTCAAATATCCATGGATATTGGTTCACTTTCATTTCTTATTTGTTTTTACCTGCAGGTATAACCTGATGGCTAACAGAGTTCTGCTTTTGTTGGCTATGGCTTCTAGAAATGTTCCGAACTTTTCTTCTAAAATCCTGAGTGAAACTGCTGGTGAGTACCTTCCTTGTCAGTTCATATGTGATTGATTCCTCGCCCTTTTCACCATCATTCTTTCAACAATTTAATGAGATTATCGCTCACAATTTCTTTAATATTGTCTTACTGACGCCTTTTCAGGTCACTTTCTTAAAAATTTAAAAAGTCATCTTCCTCAAACAAGGTTGCTTGCAATCTCAGCTCTAAATACACTATTAAAAGAATCACCTTACAAACTCTCTGCTGAGGATCAGTCTGCAGTATCTGAGTTACAGACAAATGTCAAATCATCTCTTGAGGGGGCATTAAGTGAAATTTTTCAGGAAGAAGGGTTCTTCAATGAGACTATGAATAGCCTGTCTCATGTTCATGTAATTACTGATACTGAGAGCACATCTTCCAGAGGAAGTCACGGGAATTCTTTTATCCAAAGCCTTGCAGACAAATCAATTACCCGTTTTTATTTTGATTTTTCATCTTCATGGCCACGTACTCCTAGTTGGATCTCTCTATTAGGAAGTGATACATTTTACTCCAATTTTGCACGAATCTTTAAGCGGCTCATACAAGAATGTGGCATGCCTGTTTTACTAGCACTGAAAGAAACATTGGAGGAGTTTGCAAATGCTAAGGAAAGGTCTAAGCAGTGTGTTGCTGCTGAAGCGTTAGCTGGGGTGTTGCACTCTGATGTCAATGGTCTTTTAGGGGCTTGGGACAGCTGGATAATGGTTCAGTTGCAGAGTATCATTCTTTCTCAGTCAGTCGAATCTATTCCAGAGTGGGCAGCTTGCATACGTTATTCAGTTACAGGAAAAGGAAAATATGGTACACGAGTCCCTGTTCTGAGGAAACAAATTTTGGACTGTTTGATGGCACCTTTACCTCCAGCTGTAAATACCACTGTTGTTGCAAAGCGCTACGCTTTTCTTTCAGCTGCACTCATCGAAATATCCCCACAAAAGATGCCAGTGGCTGAGATAGAGCTTCATAACAAACTTACAAAGGAGTTGTTGGATAACATGTGTCACTCATCAGCCCAAGTAAGCACGGGACTTTCATACATTTTGTTAATTGACTTATCAAATTGTTTCTGCTGGCATGTTTTGCCACTCTTTTGATTCATGATTATGTTCCAGTAAGTTGAACTTCTCCCCTTTTTATTCTTTGGACAAAAAAAAAAAAAAAGGGGAATGAGAAGAAGGAAGAAATTGAATTTTCTCTAAGAGAGTGGTCTTATGTAATAATTCATGAACAACCACAATTATTTTCTGTATCCTTCTATTTCTGTGACAAATTGAGTTGTTTTTCTGATCATGCTTCAATGCAATTTTGTCGTGGAACAGGTAAGGGAAGCCATAGGTGTTACCCTGTCTGTGTTGTGCACTAATATTCGTCTTCAGCTGTCATCTGCTCATGATTATTCATGCGAAGGGGGCAAGGACATTGACAACCAATTGAAAGAGGAAAAGTGGGTTCTCATTCTGACAGACCGAGCATCTGATGTAGTCACAAATATTCAGAATACTAGCCCAGCAGACAACATGGAGACTGCTGGGCATATAGCTCTTCAGAATGGGTCTTTGAATGGGGATGCACAAGATGATGTCAAGTGGATGGAAACGGTATTAATTTTGCAAATAAATTTATATTTGGTTCTATAACTATTGGAATGACTGATTGATCAATGTATTTCTTCTTGTTTGGTGTAGCTATTTCATTTTATCATCGCAACCTTGAAAGCTGGGAGATCTTCTTATTTACTGGATGTTATTGTGCAATTTCTCTATCCTGTACTTTCTTTGCAGGTATGTATGGTGCATTTTCTTTGTTTGTGTTACTTGACTGGTCTTTGCCAGTGGTTTCCATCTAATTGCTGCATTGATTGCTCCAATTTTCTGAACAACCCAACCCTTTGCCATTATTCCTTTATGCTCTTCTAAACTCTTGCGTTGGCTTGCATATGTTCGGATGCAAATATTAAGATTGAAGCTTTTTATTACATAATAAATCAGAGGGAAAACATAGTTTCTTAATTGAGCAAAATAGCATTTTCTTTTCAGATGCAATTTCCTTATTTGGGCTTTTATCTAAGTCTTCGAAGAAGACCCAGTGCACATCCATTTTACTGCACAAGCTGCAGTCATCCTGCCCTCTTGTTGCTAGCATCTTGTTTTTAGTGATTTGGAATACGAACACAGATGCCAATTTGATGCACAATATTGTGGACTGATTTTAACTCTGGCAAAGTTTGATATGGAAACTGCATACTTGCATTTATTGCCTTAATGTGGCAATTACGTTTGGCATCCTGCATCTGTAGCTGACAAATATTATTGCCTTTGTGAAGGAAACATCAAATAAAGATTTGTCAACACTGGCCAAGGCATGTTTTGAATTGCTGAAATGGAGAATTTTCTGGGCACCTCATCTCCAGAGGGTTGTTTCTGTGATTCTTTCTTCTGCCAATGATCCTAACTGGCGGACCCGATCAGCTACTCTGACATATTTACGTACTTTTATGTATAGGTATTGGACCTTTTCTGAATACCTCATCTCTTACATTGTGGACTCCTTTTTATCATATTAAACATGTTAAACTCCTTCAAAGCAAGCTATGAATTTTACTTTTGCATTTCCCACACAAGTGTGTGTTAATTGTCTGTTATAGAGGACATTATATGTTCCTTGATCTCATGTTTTAACAAGATGTTTGCTATAGTCCTGAACGTGAAAAGATACTTTTACGGGTTTGAATGTGATTAGAGCCATGTTGAGTATTTTCTGGTAAATAGCTGGACCTGTGGGTTAAAAAATTATTTGTTGTGATCTGGATTCTAATATAGTTGGCGTGCTCTTTCTATTACAGGCATACTTTCATCCTCTCAAATGTGGAAAAACAACAAATTTGGAGAACAATTGAAAGTCTCCTGCGAGATAATCAAGTAGAGGCAAGTTCCTGGCTAAATCTTCAATTCTGAGAGTATTGTAGATTTCTAGGTGCAAATGTAGATTAGCTGGTGAAGAATAATCTTCTCCTTTATTGATATTTAATAATCTTCGACCTGACTGACTCTTATTTGTGATAAAAAGTTGGAGACTCTGAAATAAAATACAAGCGATGTAGGACAGGATAGTATTGAAGATATAAAGAAGTAGAATTCCCTTTAGAAGAGGGATTAAAGAGGAGGATAGAAAATAGAGCTTCTTCCCAATAGGAGAGGGATATATAGAGACGGAATAGTGAAGAAAGCAAAAGTCGAATAATATTGTTCAATTCAAATTATCTATCATGTCTATGTAAATTATAGAAAATATGCTAATAGCATCCTGAAAGTCAATAGCAGAAATTAAGAGGAGAATCCCAACCGAGTTAAACAACTAAAATAAAACAAATATTAAAGCTTGTTCTCCATCAACAAGTACTGAAATACCAAGCACTAGGTTCATTAGGACAGTCCTTTATGTGAAGGTTTATTTCTTTGTGAGAGTCAGTGAGGGAGTGAAGTCCTTGGACAACAGGACAAGTCATTCTGTTTTTGCTTTCAACATAAAAAAGGTAAATTCTTGGACAGGTAAGGGAGCATGCTGCAGCAGTTTTAGCAGGTCTAGTGAAGGGTGGGAATGAAGATCTTGCAAGAGACTTCCGTGAAAGAGCATACTTGGAGGCGAATACCATCCAAAGGAAGAGAAAGCAGAGGTTATATCACCATCAAATGTTCTTTGAGTTAGATTATCTTTCACTGTGGATACAATTGTCCTGCACACATTCATGTACTTGTTTTGGGGTCTGCATGTCAAACATGCATTAGGCTGGCCTTTTGTGTTGAAATTTCTTTTCATCTCATTGAAGTCAATATACTATAGATGTTTTTCGCATTCATCCTCACTATTATGTCTGGGCTCACTGCTGGTATACCTTGTTTTCACATCCCTTTTGCTTTTAGTACGCAAGCGACAAGTCCTAGTATGGATGATCTTGTAATTTTGACCCAAAGATTTGTATACTTGATTGCAGGAATCTAAAAACTGGCCAATCTGTAGCATCAATTCATGGTGCAGTACTTGCTTTGGTGGCTTCTGTATTGTCAGTTCCATATGATATGCCCAGGTGTGTTCATGTTAATGCAAGGAACTGATTGTATCATGTGTTTCCAGAATGATCCAATAATATTTTGTTCTTTGTATGAAATGGTGATAATATGCCACCAATGGCAAGTTGCTTCATAACCATGTCAAATTCTCTTTTTAGCGGCGAGTGGTCAAGTGATCTTTTTATTGTTATCTGACCCAGCCAACCTGCATAATTGAAATAGTGTTTTGGGGTAATAATAATATTAGGCAGCATTTTTCTAATTTATAAAGAGTTGAATGAATCAAGGCTCTTAATGTCCCCACTTGGAACTCTGCGGGTATAATTTTTTGACTGTTTTCTTGACGAGATCAGTTATAACCCAACTGACCATAGTTCATTCTTAAGAATCATAGAAATTGCCGTTCTCATTTCCCTCTCCCTCCTCTTGCCTTTGTGAGGTTTGCCAACAGTGTAGTCAGCATTGAATCTTGTTCTGACTCAATGCAGGTCATTATTATTTGGGAGTTTCATAATCTTGGCTCTTGGTTTTAGATGTTGCTAACTGATCAAACCTCTACTATCTTACTAAAAGAAATGTTTCTGGAATTAGGGAAAATAAGCCCAGTAGAGTTTTGTTCTTTTTCCTGGGGCATGGGATTTGATGAGAGGAAGGTCCTATATAGTTGGTAAAATATACAAACATACATGCTTGCTTAAGAAGATGGTCAAAGGGTCATTTTTCTGGTACTCTTTTTTATTCTTAATAACACCATCATGGATTATGTCAATCACGACAGCAGAATTGGACTTATATGCTGGGGGTGTTGAGTAGACTTTGTATTGAAGTACCTGTGCTGTTACATGGAAGCTTAAAAGAGAAATAGTTGGGCTGGACATACAGCTCTCAAATGATATAATCTGTGTGGAATCAATCTAATTTTTTTTAAGACTAGCTGAAGCTCTGCCTCACCATTTTTCATTTCTGGCATTTGTTATTTAACTGGCTGAAACAAGGATTCTTTAAGAATGACGTAATATTTTTGTAAACATGTGAATGGCTTCCTGGCAACTATTATTTTCAGTGCTTGTAAGCCACACCAGAAATCTTTTTTGTGATTGTAACTCAAGGGGATTGGATTGAAGAGAGCTGCTTGTTAATATTTCGTTGAAATAATATATGAATACATATAAATATAATCCCACTGCATTTTACCTGGTAATTGTATCCTTTCAGTTGGTTGCCTGAGCATGTTACTTTACTGGCTCGTTTTGGAGGAGAGCCATCACCTGTGAAATCTACTGTAACAAAAGCAATTGCTGAGTTCCGACGGACTCATGCGGATACTTGGAGTGTCCAGAAAGATTCATTTACTGAAGAGCAACTTGAGGTAGCTTTATAAAACTTTGTTTTTCAGATACCTTGGTTTATGTTGTAGTATTTACTTACCTTACTTGATTTTTAAACCTAACTCTACTTATTTAATACTTGCAGGTTTTGGCTGATACATCCTCATCGTCATCATATTTTGCTTGATGTACATTGGATTTTTACCATAGGAAGTTAGTAATGATTGAAAGGTTGCGACATCAGTGATTGAAGAACAGCAAGAAATTATGTAATTCTAGGGTGCAATTTATATAATAAGTCCTTATTTACATTTTTCATTATTTTTCATTGCATAAGATATTTTGTTATTGCCAATAAATGAAAGGTGTGGTTGCCTCGCCTATTTTGTGTTGTAACTTCTCTCTCTTAAACAATTGGGCTCATTAAGTCATCAGATGGTAAATCCCATAGCACGCAGTCCGTATTGAATATGGATGAGCCATTTCTAATCTCTTTTCCACCCTCGGATTCTTCTCCATTTTCATTGTCAAAATTTTCATGCAACCTGCCTTGTTGATCACCTTCTCTGCAGGTGCTTCCAGTGCACATGCTCTGATTCCATGGTGATAAAACTCCTTCATTGCCAAACGAAGATGGACCACATAAAAATGCATTAACGGATGAAGGAAAATTGCCACAGGCGCCTGCAAAATTGGCAGAAGTAGCACCAGCAGACTCCCAGGTTTTGTTTGGGGCCAACATTCCAGGTTCTTGCATTGCTCTTGATAAACCATGCTTGATTTTCTCAACGGTATCATCATTTTCATCATGTCTAGTGGCAGAATAAGGGGATGAGTTGTTCCCTTGTGCTACATATGTGTTGCATTGTTGTAGCTGGTAGTCGATGCGCTTTTTAGTGAGTAGGTGGAGCATTTCATCTTTGAAGCAGCCAAGGGCTGCTTCTGCAAGGTGGGCCACCTGTGGTGTTGCCAGTGTGGTGGCAATCTCCGCCATGAGGTGGGAGAAGGGTTTGTGGGTAACTGGATCTATACCCATGCCAGAAAGCTTCTTTTTCAGCTTGGTGTTCCAGTGATTTTTAACATCATTGTCTGTGCGCCCAGGAAGCTGAGCTGCAATCAATGACCATCTGTGACGCCATTTCACACACGGTCATTGAATAGCAAAACTTGCAACAAAAATAGGTTTATACAGCATGCTTAAGGGTTGAAGTTTTCTTCTATTGAATTTAGAAATACCTTAAATATTGAATGATTGAGCAATGTAAATATTAATTGGTGTACCTGTTGCCAACAACAGAGTGAAGCTTGACAATGGTATGCTCTTCAGCATCAGAAAACTGGCCGTGCTTCAGATCTGGACGAAGATAATTAGTCCACCGCAACCTGCAACTCTTCCCGCATCTTTGGAGACCTTAATCAGAGAAGGAAAAGGAAAATAATTAGGTTAGTTTTCTACAGTATATGATGATCTTATTAAGAACATTAATGTGGAGGGGAAAGACAAAAACCAGCATTCTTGGGGATGAGCCGCCAGTTACGGGTGCCGTGTTGGGCGATATAAGAAGAGAGTTTGTTATCTTCCTCAGGTGTCCATTGTCCCCTTTTCACGTTGTCCTTCTCACAACACGGAATCCTGCCCATCGTTGTGCTCCTGTTTTGTTTATTCTTCTTCTTTCACTATCCTCCTTAACACGTAGCCTACTATAATATGTATACTAATGAAAGAAAAGAAAAGAGAAATAATCCTCCTAACGCCTCAAAATTTGGGGTAAGCAAATTATAAAGAAAAGAAAACAAGTGGAAGTGTTAAAAGAAATGGTAAGTGGGTTCACTGTTATATACAGAAAGAAAAGTTTGGCTTGCATATTGCATTGCATGGGGTTTTAAATTAAATTGGAAAGAATAAAAATGGCATCAAAGGTGCGTGATTTTACTAAACAATTCAACGCTATTGAGTGTGTGAGAGGTGGGCCGGTAGCTCACCCACAAGACACCTGGTCAACTCTCTTTCTCTCTTCCTTGTTGACTCCCTTTGAAGGTCATTGCAATGCTTTGGGTTGGGTAGCTTTCTGCTTTGATCACACAAATTTACCACCTCCATAGTAAGGGACTCCAATGCATTTGAAACCAGAACAAGTGAAGTTTAACGTTGTTGCATTGCACGTAGCCATTCACGTGTGGGTCATCGTTTTGACACACCCTTGAGAGTTGAGAAAGAACGGATGAGTTTGCTTTGTACAACTTGTAAGAAGAGTTCGTAGATAGATGTAACTGACTACTAATCTTGTACCATTTTTAGCTGGTTCGTACAAAACATGTTGCCTGAAACTTTGTTGATGTACCAAAATCCTACCGAAGCAAACAAGATTGGGTTGCCCACTTGGATATTATCCATTAAGCCCAAAACATTGCCAAATGTTTAATTATAGATGCCACCTTTTCAATTAGTAAAAGCTTGTTTTCGGTTCAATCAGAAATAAAATGGATTCCGAACTATACAATAGAAGTAATTTTCTTTCATTGTACAATTATTACTAATAAGTAATTAAGACTCGAATCTCGTTTCTTTTGGGGAAAAAAGAAGCTATCGGATAGACAACTATCAGATTAAACCTGATTATGCAATAATAAAAGATTTTGCTATTGAATTATTCCTCCAACAATTTTTCTATAATTTATCTCTATTATCCAAATATGAACTTTACCACAAATTTGAAGAGTGCCCACTTGGCATGAGAGCAAGAGGGCACAAAAATTAATATTATGCACATCAAAAAGCCAAGAATTTACACAAATTAATCAAAGCAAGTACAGCCTTTCCCATCTTACATTTTATACAATGTTGGTTCTGTCACAGGGAAGTGGGAATCATGCTTTAAAGAATTCCAGGTTTCATATATATATATAGTTGTGATGAACCCATGACTTCTCAACTAAAACTTGGAGATGCCTTCACCATCACCGGTAATTCTGCCTCAGGACAATCCATTTGGTCCCTTAGCTCAGTCTTGCACTTATCAGCCCTTCGACTGATCCAATCAAAGCAAATGCTGTCACCAACAGGCAGATGAAGCTGAAGGTTCGAAGCATGATCCACTTAGTTGTCCATGCTTCGATATTTTTCTGCTTAAAATACATTTCCACAGGAAAGTATATAGTCAAGGGGAAAAAGCCTGATGCTCCTATAAATCCAATAACCTGGTTGAAGTAAGGAAACATCATTGCAATCGCGGTTGTTGACAGGACGTAAATTGTTCGGAAACACAACCTGAGGAGATTTAATTGGAAACCTGGCAACCATGGGAATTGGTAGGTGACATTCTTTTTCAAAAGCCTGTTGTCGGGATAGTTCTCAGCAATCCAATTTTCAATGACTGCAAATACTGGCTGACTGTAAACCTGTCAAGACAATCAAAACATTGTTACTTCTACGCGATGAAGCTGCATCTGCCTCTCTTGTTATCAGGAACATTTTGAATAGACAGATACCTGATAACCACCAACAAGATGAAGCACAATACAAGCATTAGCGAAATCGATAAGCCAGTATGGTTCATAAAATCCAAATCCAGTCAAGAGGTTTCCTGGTGTTTTTTCTCCAAAAGCTGCATAACCAAAGCCTCCACAGAAGAGGTAGAAAAATGTTGTAACAAAAATAGCTGTCGTTGACGCCTTCTTCATGGTCTTGTTTTCTGATGGAGGTGATTTTAATGTATCCTTCATGATTTCCAAGTTCCAACACATACAATTAGCCTTTTAAAGAATTACACTATTGTTTAAAACTTGCCCATCAAGAATAAGAATTCATACCTGTATTTCGAGTAGAATTAGGGAATATGGATACGCAAATGCAATATCCCCAAGTGCTTGAGATATATTCCATAATTTATCAGCTGCACTATAAGCTGGGACTCCTACAATCCCACCCTTAACAATTCCATTTCCTGAAATTTTAGAGAGATCAAAATTTATTCAGTATGGAGCTAAAAGTTTACCAGAACAAAGACTCTGACACAGATTCGTAAGGCAAACAGTTTGATTAATGTTAGCCTATCCACAACCGCACCTATTACTTGTGTCAATCCAAGTGCAAATCCAATAGAAGAATAGCTGACAGACATGATTGCAGCAACAATTGATAGCCATTGTAGGTTATGGAAATCTGGTATTTGGGACAATATAACTTGAATCACTCCAAATAGTAGCATATACACAGTGCCTCCATATTCACAACTAGCCCCATGCCCTTCTCTGTGGTAACAGTTTGATTTCTGAATTGCCCTTCGTTAGAAAAAGCAATGGAAATGCAAACTTAGACAACGAATTTGGGATTTAAAAGTAGCTTAAATTCAGGATATACAAACCTCATGCTGATAGCAGTAGTAATAGTATAGGCAATTCCTGTCCCATATAAGCCTATTTGTGCGAAGAGGCCACATACCAATGCATTCCGTTTTCCTGAGTCCATGTCAAGCATCAACTGTTAACACGGCATAATTGGAATATCTTTATGCATACTGATAGCTTTAACATGATTTTGAATTAGGGTTAACAGCTTACTATGTCTTTATAAAATAGAATAATTTTCTAATTCATCCTTATATCTCTTAAACTAATTTTATTCTTGAAGATACATTAAGTATCTCATCTATCATTTTGGTTAGATTTTCAAGTTAAACTATCAGAACTAGTCACACGAGCTTACAATTCATCAATTAATGAGCTGATATCGAATTATTTTTCACCAAAAGAAATATAGAATACAACTGCTAATAATTAGACATTAATTAACTATGAAAATGAAGAAAAAGTAGTACTATATCGTACTTACCCAAAGTCTCATGAACAGCTTCAAGGTAAGACCGATTTCTTTTGGGTCCAAATTCAGGATCAGGAGATAGATAGCAGTCGCAGAGAAGGAAAGCAGAAAGAAGGCTGATCAAAGCAAAAGTCAACATGGCCAAAGGACCTGCAATCCACCCTAACTGAGCCATGCTCCAAGCCAGTGATAGCACCCCAGACCCTATCACTCCAGTTATTATGTGCGCCACGGCCGTCCATGCACTCCCTTCAAAATTAATTTACATTCACTGAGGAAAAAAAGAGAGCAAAAGAAGGAAGATGTGATGAAGAAGAAAAAGACAAACCAGTTCTCTTGATCCCAGGCGGAGAAAGCAACAATGATGACCCCTCTTCCTCTGCTTCTGCTTCTACTCCCATGGCCTTAATTTCTTTCAAGCAAACTGATAAGTTTTTCTGAGAGAAACAAAATTTAATTATATCATTTGTTTCCATCTCGAAAGACTACTGGTTGGTTTGATGTTGATGTTTTTCTTTACAGAAAATAAAGAAAAGCACTAGCTACGTAATTAAGGTGTTGTGGCTTTCATTATTTAATCTTCTAATTAAGGATGCCAAAACACTGCATGTGACAACTGAGAACAAACGACTTCTTAATTATTAATTTAGCAGTTGATTATTCGTTACCATCTCATTTGCCAATTTTGAAAGAATTGATATATTCAAAACAAAAATATTGAAATTCATTTACAATCTCATTTCCCAGTTTTTCATGTGGAAACACCGAAAGGATGGGGATGATTTATTTTTTGAATGTTCTTATTCTAAGATTGTTTGAAATATTATTCTTTTTAAATTTGGATTTTATAGAACAATTAGTAGCTAGAGTATAGAAGCATTATACAATACAATATTTGCATGAAATGCAAAAAAAATCAATATATTATTACCTGATTAACATGAAATGCAATCATTTATGGTTGGTGAAAACAAAAAAAGTAAAATTTATGATACAAATATTTCTTTTTTAAATAATGTTTTTTTTTAAAATGTGGATTTTATAGAACAATTAGTAGCTAGAGTATATAATTACGAGAAATTTTATAATACATAAGGAGTAACTAGTGGCGTATACAGTAGTTACTCCATCGGTCTACTTTGAAGAAAGAGATAAACATAAAAAAAAAAAAGAGAAAATAAAAAAATTGATGGGTCTACTTTGAAGAGAGAGATAAATACACAAAAAAAAGAGAGAAAATAAAAAAATTTTAGTGAACGTGAAAATTTTCTTATCACTTTTGGTAGGTATGAATGTAATTTCTTTATTTTTTGTGTCTATCTTTCTCCTAAGAGTGGACTCATAGAGTAACTACTATACATGTCATTAATTACTCTATAATAGTTACTCCTTGTATATTATAAAATTTTACAAAGAATTACTATACAATACAGGATTTGCATGGTATGCAAGGAAAAAAAAAGGTCAATCTATTATTACCAACTTAACATAAAATGCAATCATTTATGATTGGTGAAAAATAAAACAGTAAAATTTATGATAAAGATATGCAATTTACATAATTGTAAGTATCTAATTGAAATAATGTTTAATTCAATATTTGAGTTTATTTGTATTCAATAGATATTGTTATAATATGTTTATATATTTATTATGGATTCATGTTTTGTAATAAGTAAACTACTATTTGTAATTTTTTTTTGTTGGATAGATAATTTCATTTAAAAAAAAATCAATTACTTGATTAGAAAACGTTAAGAGTTGGAGTTATCATAATGTAATTATCACAATATGAAATCACAATTAACGTGACCCAGCTATCAAATTACATAGACGTGCACCCCAATAGATCTTTGTCATCAACCAAGGACAACAAGTAAGTGGGCAGGTAAGTCAACTACGTAGTTGAATTTAGTACCCAAATTGCTCGGTTTTCCAAATGAGGTGACAATGGATTCCCACCGTTTAGATGATCTGCCACTTCTTTCGAATTTGCTGACAGAAGAAGATATTGATTGCTGTGACTTCTCCCATGTTCATAGACATCATTTATAACATTTACAATTTGTTTCAAAAGGCCAGTAAAGCTTTTTCCTGTTATTTTTACATACAATTACATGCTTTAAACAATGCCAGGTTCCTTATATTTCTTCTCAATGACTAAAACTTGGAGATCTAGCTTAACCTTGCACCAGGACAACAGTCCAATTTAGTGACCTAATCTTGAACTTATGAGCCCTTCAATTGATCCAATCAAAGCAAATGCTGTCACCAAAAAGCAGATGATGCTGAAGGCTTCAAGCATGATCCACTTAGTTGTCCATGCTTCAATATTTCTCTGCTTAAAATAAATTTCCACAGGAAAATATATAGTCAAGGGCCAAAAGCCGAGTCCTCCTAATAGTCCAATAACCTGGTTGAAGTAAGGAAACATCATTGCAATTGCTGTTGTTGACATGAAATACATCGTTTGGAAACACAATCTGAGAAGGTTTAGCTGGAAAGCTGGCAAGCATGGGAGTTTGCAGATGACATTCTTCTTTCTAAATTTCTAATGCATTTGCATTTATATCTTCTTTACAATTGCTGTTTTAATCAAATAAAGTTTTGTTGCAAAATGGCCACCTGGAACTGTTTGTATTTGTACATATATCTCCTTGTCTTGTCTTAAATTCATGGAGTAATGGAATTTCCATCGTTGTTTTGGTATTTTTTTTTCCAAATAAAAAATTCCGTTCAAGATTATTATTGTGATAAGATTCCGCAGGCACTTTTTGTAGAATAAACATCATTAATTAGAAGTTAACTTCCAGGAAATATTACTGTCTTGTCTTGCAGTTGGCAAAAACACGCCACAAATAGCTCCTTGTAGGTCCCCTGGATATACTCCAAATGAAGTTTCAGTCCTTGCATTATGCCAATTTATAAATACTAACTATTGTCCTTTTTATAATTTCAAAAACTTTAGCATATAATAATATAATATGACCTTTGGTAAATTAAGTTGTTGCTTCCTAATACTATTCCTGCCAAACATTCTTTTCCACTTCTCTTTAGAAAAGATGAAAAACGCTACTTTTGGTGAAGTTCTTGATTCCTTCCTACCAACTTCTTCCTTTCACCTCCAGTATTAATTATTTCTTTAAACCAGTATCCTAATCTCTCATCTGTACTGCTTTCTGTTCTTTAATTTCCTGAATAATATTGCTTCAGCAAACCAGCAGTTGAAGTACAAAATCTTGAATTAATCCAGGTAAATTAATTATACTTCACGTTGATCTCCTTATCGTTTTGTTTTTTACATGCTTATAGCTATTGTTTGATTCTTAATTTCAGCTAAGAAATTTTGGAGTTAGGATTCATCAGATACATTATTGACTGACAATTTGCTTACCAATTTAATTTCAACAACTTGAAATTGTTATTTTAGATTGAATCTAATTTCCCTTTTCCATTTCATTCAACCTACTATTTTAATTTTTATTCAATATGCTGACAAATCTTTTTCTATATATTTTTTTCCTGTTCTACAGAGCCACTTATCAAGGAAAAGGCAAAAATGGATCTGTCAAATAGGGATGCATTTTGGAATCATGTTGTAGAGATGAATGATGGAAGTATGCAGTGTCAGTTTTGTGGGCATCCATTTGCCAAAGACACTTCCATTTCGAGGATCAAATGGCATTTATCGGGAGAGAAAGGCCATGGTGTTGTCATTTGTCGTCAAGTGCCTAAACAAATTCAAGAAGCCGCCTTTCGAGCTATGCGCGGTGGCAACAAAAGACAAAAAACCATAGCAACTTCAAGCAATGTTCATGATAATGACATTTCATCCTGTCCACAAGAAGGATGCAATGACGTCCAAAATAACTATTGCATTGACTGAGAATTATCTGAGAATTAGAGTTTTGAGAGCCGTCTTGGTTCCAAATAACTATTGTATTGACTTTATTTTCTTGTAAAATTTCAGTGTTAAGTTGTCATCTATACTCCATATTATGTGCTGTGGTTGTTGTTCTTTTTCGGTTGCACCACTACCTGAAATATTTAATTAAAATGCCTAAAAAGAATCAGAAAGTTAGCAATGAAGTTTCTAGGCTTTGTTACATGTACATATAGAATAGACTAGTTACTCTCCTACGGAATGGTACTTAGGCACCTTACTCCATACAATTCTTAGAACTGATGCTAGACCAAATGAAAAAAATTATCAGATATTAATGGAGCAAATGATAGAAATTAAATGAAAATACTTAATTTGTAGATTTGAAAAAATTATATATATTCAAACAAAAAAATTAAAATTTATATATACGATTAAAAAAAAATTAAAATTTAATATACTTGTAATGCAATTATTCCAATTTGAATTTATAATTAATGTGACCCAACTATCTAATTACAGACACGTGCAACCCAACAGATATTTGCCACCCACCAACGACATAAGTGGGAAAATACTCAAATATGTAGTTGAATTTGGTACCCAAATTGCTTGTTTTTCCGAAAATGATCGTATGCATGTATCTCATTGTCTTGTCTTAACTTCATAGAGTAATGGAATTTCCATCGTTATTTTGGTTTTCTTTTTCCAAATAAAAAAAATCTGTTCAAGATTATTATTGTGATAAAATTCCATGCACTCTTTGTAGCATAAACTCCATTAATTAGAAGTTAACTTCCAGGCAATATTACTGTCTTGTCTTGTTTTGCGTTTGACAAAAACACACCACAAATAGCTTGTAACACCCCCAACCTAGGACCTAATTCGCTAAGAATATTATTATCGTTAACTCACATTTGAAGTGCAATGAATATAAGTTAACAAGGCACCGTGACCTATTTATAACTTATTTAGATATAATTACACCTGCAGAAGTCTATTGATAACATATAAGTCCTATATTTATGTTCCTTGGACTGAATCATTTAAATCTCTAATCCTCGATTTCCTCAAATTCCTTTTCTATTTAATTATATAAACTTATTTAATTACAAGTGATTGATCATTTATTATTATTAATTATCATTTAATTTATTTTCCATTCGTCTAATTATATCGTCTTACCTTTTTAGTGGTGTTAGTATGAAAATAAACAACTTAAAGCAAACGATACTACTACCACTATGCTACTATTTTACTAAGAGTATTTAGAATACATACAACTATCACTTAAATACAAAACTAGTCTAAACTAGTTCATTGACACCTACTACAAAAGTGACTTATTAACTACTTACATTCTTTTACCTTACTCTTCCATCTACAGGTGTATTGCTTTAATTAGTACATAAAAAAACACTTTCATAGCTAAAAAGTAGACTAAAATACTTAGTACCATGATTGTCATCGTATGTATGAGATCTATCCCGGTACCACATCCAATATATAAGTGACTAGTAGATCCCTCGGTAGTCGGCTCAAATATCATGAACATCATCTTTACTTGGGATAGCTGCACCATAAACATATATGTGAGTGATAACTCGGTAATTTAACTTATGCATGTAATATATGTGCATGTACATGTATGTATAAAACACTAATATATGCATAATAAATTCTTTTTCTCATGTCATAAAATATTTCATAAACAATCTAAAAATTCTTTTTTTTGTCTTTGGACATGTCCCATTTAGGTACTTTATGGTTTTCATAACATATGTCTAGCGAACCGGATCCGTTCGGGGACGTGTTCTATCGAGCCTCTAAAAGCGCACGTTTGCACTTGCTCGACCTTGAACCATTACCATGTAAAAAACCCATGAAGTCCTTTCCTCATAAAAATCCTCAAGTCAAGAAAATCATATTCTTTAAAACATTTTTTATTGCTATCGAAAAATCTTGACTTGAAACATGTTTTCATGACTTAAAACATTTTTCATGAACTTAGTCACGTGTGTGCACTTTATTAATAATGCTAGCTCATGAAATGCATGCCATAACCAATCATGTGATCATGCCATGCCAAGATGGAAATTAATATCACCATTACAATAACAACATTACCCTAAATAAATCGACGTGTTAGACTCTGATGAAAAGCTGCACCTTGTACCTTGATGGTGGAAAAGAAAAAAAAAAAAAAAAACAGCAGCAAGAGGCTATTTCTTCCTGCTTTGGAACTCAGTAAAGTTGCACCTGGTACCTTGATGGTGGAAAAGCTTTCAAGTTGAGAAAATCAAGAGAAACTAGTGAGTAATAAAAACCTTAATTCCAAAAAGAAATGATTAAATGTTTAGCATCCATCCAAATGGGAGTTCTTTAAAATGACAATTTCGTTTACCTATCTGATGAAGGCAGAAGCCAGAATAAAAAGAAAAGAAATTTTATTTTAGGAGGCCTGTTTTCTTTCCTAGTTTAGATCATAAGTGGAATTTTCTATCTTTCGATTAGTCCTATATAATATAGAATATCCTATATTAGATATTCCCTAAAGCATTAGACAATGGAATCCAACGTGTTAGACTCTATTGTGTGCTGTGTTTTTGCTCTTTGGTAACGACACCAATTTTTAGTATTAGACTGAGCTTTCATGTCGGGAACTTGTGACAAGCTATGACAGGGAAAGGACTTTTGAACTAGAAACAACGGGAAGAACATTGGTTGGATTTGGCAACACAAGTGGGTGGCCTATCGCAGCAGCCATAGCCGCTGCATCAAGACCAACCAGGTGATGGTCGTGTGCGAGACAAAACACAGTTGTTGCAGGAAGAAGGAAATCAGGAAGGAAACTTTGATGATAATTCAGATTTTGGTGCTGAAAGTGATCGGTCAAATGGTAATTTCGATCTTTTTCATGAAAATTGCAAAGGTGAAGAAGCCAACACAGACAGTTCCATTGGTTGGCAATGCTTAACCCTTGTTCTGATGAGGAAGATATAACAGAACCAAAATTTTCATAACCTTGTCAAGAAAGAACAGTGAAGGCTTATAGAAAGATCAACAACGCAAGCCTAATAGTGCACTTTGGAGTCAGATGGTGCAATGATAGCATATTCAAATTCTTTATCATGCCCTTTCTTTTTTCTTTTGGATCATTAGCCAAAAACCAATTGGTACTGTTTCATCGTTTTCAATATTTAGATATTTGGGAAACTAAAATTTATGCCCTCCATCTATTAGGCAGGTTTTAATTTGGTCCCTCTCCTCCTATACATGTTACACTCTATCAAAATCATACCAGTATCTTCCCTCAGTTAATTGGATGTAAAATTTGTCCAAAAATTACACTCGAAGCTCCATTATATCAATTTCTCTCTAAATTCATCTATACTAATCTACTAAATTAGCTACCTCAGTTCTTTTCTAACATCAACTTTGTTATCATGTATTTTTAAAATTCGGGTTTATAACGAGACATTAGAAGTTTACATCTAATTAATATAATCAATTTGTTGAAATGAAAAAACTTATATTCATAGAATAAAATATAAATTTGAGTGTCTATCGAAGAATTTTATTATTATTATTATTATCAAAAATAAAAAGAAGTTAGAATAGTGGAAATAAAAGGTTAAAGCTAAAAGCTGAAGTAAATTGACAAATACGAGTTTCACATGTAATTTAATGAAACTACTTAATCCCCAATAGGTAGAGGAACAAAAGTTCCACAATTTGGAAAGCTTTAGGGTAACATTGATGCAATTAGTAGGATAGGGACCAAAATAAATACAATTTAAAGTAGAGAAACCCAATGTATGTACGTGACGTCCTTGTTTATCCATCCCCTTCGATTAGGATATATACAATTTAAAGTAGAAAAAAGAAAAAGAAAAAACAAAGTATGCTATCTTATTACTAAGATTAATTAATCATATGCCTTACGTATCTAAAGTCTGGTGAACAGCTTCAAGATAGGACCAATTTTTTGTAGGGCCAAATTCAGGATGAGGAGATCAACAGCAATCGCAGAGAAGGAAAGATGAAACAATTAAGGGTGATTGAACCAAAAAACAGCATGGCTAAAAGACCTGCAATCCATCCTAACTGAGCCATGCTCCATGCTAGTGATCCTACCACTCCTGTTATTATGTGTGCCACTGCTGTCCATGTCGTCCCTTTAAAGTTCATCATTATTTCAAGTTAGCTATAGGGGGAAAAAAAAAAAAAAAAAGAAAGAAAAAAGAATTTCCAGAGAAGCAACTGAAATTAAGAAGAAATGGTGAGAGAAAAACCAGTTCTGTTGATGGTTGAGTTTGATGGCATAGTAGGGTGTAACAGAGGTGCCTCTTCTTCTCCTGCTTCTATTCCCATGGCCTTTCCAAAAGAAATAGAATTTATAGGCTGCAACCAAAGTCTGGCTGTTGTAATTTAGTTGGTTTCCTGCAGAATATTCACGGGTTAGCAGAAATGCAATTCATAGGCTGCAAGTAAAGTTTGGTTAGCAGAACTGTTTCAAGACATTAGATATCATATGTACATACATCATATCATATGTACATACATCATCACTTGCCTCACCATCATTGGAGAATTCTTCAATGTCAGCGTTCTCACAAGAAGTTATAGATTTAGTCTTGATTGATGTAAAATTTAACCCAAAATACTTCACTCCTTATAAATATGAATAATAATGAGAACAATAATAATACTAACAGTGTCTTGTAAAGTCAAATTATAAGTTAAAAAAAAATAAATTAAATGAATTTTGTCATAGATATATTTATAGTGAAAAAGCATAATACAAAAACAAAATATTTTCATTTAATTGTTGAAAATTAAATACTTTATTTTTCACTAACTCTAAAACTATTCATATTTTAACAAAAGAACTAAATAATCACTCAAAATTTATGAGTTAAATACTTGATTTTTCACTAACTCAAAATTTATTCATATATTTTAACAAAAGAACTAAATTGTCATAACCAAAAAAAGATGTTTCATTTTTTTAATTTAATTTTTTATTCAAGTTGTTATGAATTTACAAAATAATAATACAAAAAAAATATATAAAAAAATAAAATACAAAAAAGTTGTGGAATTTTACATCCAAGGATGCAATTGAATTATATGAAAGTGTAATTGAAGTAATTGGGGATCCAATTAATAAAATTGGATTTACAGAGACTAAAATTACATAAAAATGGCCTAATTGATAAACTATCAATTTCTAAGGACCGAAAATGCATAAAAAGGGGCTGATTGGAGACAATTGAAGTTTGAAGGGACTAAATGGAAATTTTCAAGTGAATCGCAGGACCAATGTATTTCGTGTTTTTTTGTTCTGCAAATGTTCTCACCTGTGTCAGCTCCACCATTAATGCCATTCTCCTGCACAATCTATTCCCCCTGCACACTCCACCATTAATGCAAATTTTCTTCAAATCCCCATTTTTCTGCTGCCCAATTGGCAACCCATGCTGCTATTTTTGCAGCAGCCCCCCTCACTGATGAATGCCACAGTTTAGCTTATGAATAGGGGTCAGTTGACTGACAAATTGCAGCAACTGACACGCAGAAAAAAATTATGGGCTGAGAGAGAGAGAGAGAGAGTAAAAATCAATAAAAAGGTTTGAAATATCGAAAACTTTGGGTATCAGTTGCTGCAATTTCTGGGCAGCTGTTCTTCATGTTCATGTTTTCTGGGTTCTAGTTCATCCTTTTTTGGTTTCTTTAATTTATTGTTTTTGGTTGTTTCTGGGTTTAATTTCAATCATAACAAGTTTCTTAACCTCATTGTCCGGGTGAGTTTCGATTCGCTGGCTTTTCTCTTTGGAATTTCTGGGCACCGTGTTCTTCGTCGCTGGGTTCGTGTTCTTGGTTCCCGGGGTCGATCGAAGGGATTGTGATGCTGTTTTGAGAAGGATTTATGTTGTCTGGGTGAAGAAAAGGAGGAATCGAGAGTAAAAGCTGGAAAATTCGCGAGATTTTTGTACTTTTGGTTCCTGGGTTTGTGTTCTTCGTGTTCTTCATCTAGTTTTCCATTAGTTTTAAATTCCTATTGATTGATGTGTTACTTAGACATTAGATTGCAGGCTTTTTGAACGATGCAACTTAATCAATCAATCCTTGGTTTTAAAACAAAGGTTTGATTCCTGGAAAATTGTGATGAATAGAAAGAGAAAACGAAGAACCCGAAGAACAGGCGAGAGAGAGGAGCGGGGTTTGATCGAAAATGAAAGGAAAGTTTCTGCTGGGCTTGTTTCTGGACTTTAGCCCAGTCTAGAGTTAAAAAAAGAAAAAGAAAAATAGAAGCTCGGGTTGGGCCAAGCTCAACCCCTCTGAATAAAGGCTGGACTGATTCAGGCGAAGCCCAACCCCTCTGAATAAAGGCTGGACTGATTCAGGCCAAGCCCAACCCCTCTGAATAAAGGCTGGACTGATTCAGTCCAGCTTCTCCCCTTCCCCCATGTGAGGCCGGACTTGACTGATTCAAGTCCAGTCCAACCCGCGGAAAAGGGGCAAAAAAAAAAAAACAAAACAAAAAGAAAAAAAGAAAGAAAGAAAATCGGGCTGGACTTATCCAGCCTGGAAAAAAAGAGAAAAAAGGAGAAAGAAAGAAAGAAAAAATATTAAAAAAAAAGCCTAAGTTTCATTTTATTTAATCTTGAACTTATATTATATATGTTTTTTTATCATATGTTTAATTTCTATTTCAATGTTCGAATTTCCTTTATTCTATTCGATTAATGTAATTTTAGATTTTTATTTCAGTAATTAGGTTTAAGTACTCAATAAGTAAATAATTGTCAAGTCTCCTTTTTGTTCGAATTGATGACGGTTTTTCCACCAACAATATATATATATTTTTTATAAAAAAAAAATTTCTAACGAAATTTTCTATCCGACGAGGATTGTCATTAACCAAAACAAAACAAAAAAGAGAATATATATATATATATATTTAAAAAAAAATTCTAACGAAATTTTCTATCCGACGGGGATTGTCATTAACCAAAAAAAAAAAAAGAGAAAAAATAAAATAAAATTCTTAGCAAACTCTCCTATTTGATAGGAACTATTGTTAGTTTAAAAAATATCATCAACTTTCAAATAATCGGGATGTTCTCCGACACACCGATTGTGTCGAGGCTTAAAGTGGATTTGACGGTTGAACCGAAGTGTGGCTCGACGAAGGGGATCGACGATCGTTTCAATACGATATTACCTCTAAAACTAAAAAAAAACTTAATACAAATTGGAAATTGGAGTTTACATCGGAAAATAATTTGACATAAATAAAACATTTAGGAAATAAATTTATGACTAAACTAAGCGTGGTACCTTTCTTCGGAAAGAGCATTTTGGGTGATTAAACATTTTCTCAAAAGCGTAACCAACTCCTTACTATAAAATCTCCGAATCGGTAGCCATTTTAAGTTACTAGTTCCTTGAATACTAGGTGATGACTTCAAACTCAATAATAACTCGCATCTCTAAAATAAACCATAAGTGTGAATTGAAATCTTTGAAAACTTTGATTTTTTTAGAGTTTCGTCCGACATCGAATAATGACGTAATAACGACTCCATTAGGGATAATAAGTCGCATCCTCAAAATAAACCGCAAATTGAAATCTCCGAAAAACCATAAGTACTTGATTTTTCACTAACGCAAAAGTTATTCATATATTTTAACAAAGGAACTAAACAATCATTCAAAATTTATCGGTTAAGTACATGATTTTTCACTAACTAAAAAATTATTCATATGTTTTAATGAAAGAACTAAA